ATTGACAAATAATTTTCGTGGGCACAGCGGCCAGTGAGGAGCGTATTTTAGCTCCACATGTCTCAGAAGTACCAGGCGATCAGAAATCAATAGTAGGATGGAAAATGTTAAATAACAGTACACTGTTAATTTAACATTTACTTAACATAATTATGTTAAATAACAGTTTTATGTTAAAGTGCTGTTAAGTAACAGAATCATAACAGTGCACTGTTAATAAACTGTTAATGGGAATTTTTCCTCCTGCTATTCCTTTCTGTTCGCCTGGTACTTCGGATAAATGTGGAGCTAAAATACGCTCCTCACTGGCCGCTGTGCCCGAGGAAATTCTTTGTCAATAGTGACTTGCATTTTTTCTATTAGTTAACATAATTCTTTTAACAAAATGTTAACTTTATGTTAACAAATTCAGAGCTTTGTGTTAACTAACATTTTTACTTCTTTTTCATTTTCAGCCAAAAAGTATGCAAAGTGAAGTAAGTAAAAGTATGCAATGAATGCTTCCACCTCCTAATTATAGCCTGAAACCCCTGAAAATGCAAATTCAGGGTATAAAGGCTATGTCATAACATATTTAACAAGCAGAGGGAGGCGTGGCAGACCCTATATTGCATTATAGTAAGAAGAGAAAGTTTCTTTATACAGTTAGAAACAGTAGTATATACTTTTAAAAGAATATTGTTTCTGCTCTTCGTTTATAACTAATTTTTTTTTTTTTTTTTTTAAACAGATCATTGCGCCAATATGGAAATATGGGTGCCAAATCTGGGGACTGGCTTGTGATAGCCAAGTTCATCGAATCCAGGCCACCCAGAATAAAATCATGAGATTGCTTACCGGCTGCGAGTGGTTTGTTCGAAACACCATACTGCACAGAGACCTGAAACTCGCCACTGTCTTTGATGCGATAAATCAGCACTCTAGCCGGTACAATGATAGATTGGAGCGGCACAAAAACAGGCTAGCAAAAATGCTCATAACAAACAGAACTCCTAGGAGGCTTAAAAGGAGACAACCAAGGGACCTGATTCTCCGATCGCCCCGGATGACGGTCAACAGGAGTTGACATATAGCTGCCATCATTGTGTTATTATTGTATTATGTTGTAAATATTTGTAATTGTAAATATTCGTAAATTGCGACAGCAACGTAAGTTGCCGGCGCGCCCTAAAGGGCTGAATGAACAGATAATAAGCTCACAAAGGGGTTATCGAAAAACCTCGTATGGCTTTAACAAATAAAAAAAAAAAAAAAAAAAAAAAAAAAAAAAGTTTCTGCTAAATTCGTTATACAAATAAAAGCCTATAGTAAATATAGAATAGCCAACAAATCTATTTACGTATACACCAATAGATTCGCGTAGAGAAGGTAAAACCTTCAAAATGCTCAACCCAAACGTTAAGAGAGACTCATGAAACATATAAATTCATTCATATGAACTAATAGTCTCTCATTTATTTGATAGTTTGGGTCGCTTTAATGGCAATCAGGGCATACAGGAAAGGGTCAGCGGTATTATTTACCACGCCTCTCCTGTGCCAATCGGGTAAAGTTGAGAACGAAGTGTTTTTTATGCACATTTGTTGAGTAACATGTTTATTATACGCTGTAATCGCATTGATATATCTGCTATATTTTTAGTCCCGATGATATTCCAATCAAGTATCAGGGTACTATTTTAGATAGCTTGTATGTAGCTATAATATGTGATAAAGCTATAGAATTGACGATTTCCCACGATTCTAGCCGCATATCCAAAAATGTCTGAATACTTTTTAAATTGAAGGTAGCAACGATTACAAGCGCCTAGCTCTGATTTGCAGTTAGCGTCGTGAATGGGCCAAAAGACCCCGTTCTGGCCCACGTTTTAGCCACGTTTCGTGCTCAGTTGATGGCCATAATTGCGAATACTAATAAATAATCAATTACCTTGGCAAATAGCTGCTTAGTAAACAAAGCAATAAATTAAATATGTATAAATAATAATTACATCAATAAAATAATTATACCTAAAAAGAGAAGAGAGAAAAACAAACACAAAGTAGGCTCTGCTAACTCACTCGCCCGGGCTGTACGTGTGTTAGCCCCAATGCTTTCATAGTCATAGTTCCACACTGCCTTTCTCGGACAACATATCTACTTTTTCTTTAAAATCCAAAAATATTTTCAGAGCAGAAAATTTCTATCTTTTTTTTTCCTTTTCAGTTGAAGTTTTAAAATTTTTAGTGTAAAAAAATTATCGATATTATTTTTTTTTTTTTTTTTTTTTTTTGTATCTGCTCGAAATGAACATGCAACAGGTAAAGTATATAAAATTCGTATTTAAATATAAATATTTAAATATATCCCAGCCACAGTGTGAATTGTACCCGCGTGTAAGAGCCACGGAATATTATCGTACACCCGAGCCGAGAGTTTCGATTCAGAGTCGCAAGGCCGAACATCCAAATAAGGAAAAGGATTCGCGGAGAAATGCAAATCTTTTGGCACCCCATATCATGCCCGCTCAGACATCGCGTATGCGGGTGCAGCGCGACAGCTACTTTTCCTAGGACGGTCGACTGCAGTTTGGTTGGTTCCCTGTATAGAGTTTTGATAATACGTGTTTTGTATTTGTCTTCCTTTTAAAAATTGATAGTGGCACTTTTTTTTTTTCGTACATAAAAAGGTCGTAATGTAAAATCCAAATTTCAAGTGTTTTATTTGCTATAAATGGTAATATATCGGAACCCAAAACAGATCTTGTGTATAAGACTGAAAGTTTGTTTCAGCTTGGTTTATTTTACATTCGATTTAGCCGCCTGTAGTTATCAATCAATATCAGTTGTCGGCACTTCACGGAGGCTAGCAACTGTTTTTAGTAAAATTTTCCCATATGAAATATTACAGATATTTGAAGTCCAAACGAATGTCGCGTTAAAGGTGTTTTAATACAAGTTGTATACATTTTTAAGGAGTACATTGAGAGTTCCTGATAGGTAAGGGAGTTGCTGAGGTCTGTTAAGCAGGCAATATGTATCATAAGAGTTATTATGTACCATTTGTAGCACCTATGTATACATGTATAAATTAACATCAAATGATTTCGACAAGAGAAGAAACACCCCAAGAATAGTTAATTAATCCCATTTTAATCAAAGTTTGAGATCTACGTACAACTTGCACGTATTTTATTCATATTCGTAATATCCTTTGGGTAATATATTATTTCAAATATATCACAATTAAATACGCGCTACTAAACAGGATGTAAAGGATATTCATATGAGTGTTTATGTGCGTATGGAAGGACGCTCTTGACAGATCTATTAGGGACTCATTAGGCTGGCGCCTCGGCAAGCTGTTGCCAGCGCTTGTTAATTCCCGAAAAAAAGGTGCTCGACACTAATGATAGGCAGCTGCTGCTCTGCCGCTCTGCTGCTTACGTAAGCTCCTAACGGGATATTTAGTGAGCTGTGTGTGAGTGCTAGAGTGTGAGTGTGAGTGTGTGTGTGTGTTTGTTATGCATATCATTGGTTTATATGTGTTTATGCTCGTCTCGCTGAAATGAACACCGCAGTGGCTGTTGGCTGTTGGCTGTTGTTTGGGGCACACCTGACACGTGAGCTCCATAACGGAGGCCTCGACATGTCATGGACGCGAATGCCGCGACACGCAAGCCCCAAGTCCCAAAGCGAGCCCAAGCGAACGTTTTCACTTTCGCCACACAAATCTTCGTTTGGCTTTCTGTTTAATGCGGGCATTAAATTAAGAGTGGGATGCCCTCAATCTCCCGCTCCCGCTCTCGCTCTCTCCCTCCCTCTTCCTCTTACTCTGCCTCTGTCGTGCACGCTCTTCCCTGTCTTGGTGGTCGGTGCAACAACCTCGTTTAGCCATTTGATTGCTGCATGTGGCTCGGGCACGACCTTGAACCACTTTTGATTTCTAATTTTGGGGGCTAGACGACTTGGAGCGCAACTTGGAATAACTTTGGCTGTCATCGCATGTAACTGCCAAGCAAGCGCCTACTCTATTAATAATGACCGAAAGCCTAACTGCAACTTAATTGCACACACAAGTGGCTGGGGCTATACAATCAAGTGAGTGGGAGGCCCTGAGTGTGTATGTGTGTGAGTGTGTGTAGCTACTATGACAGCAACTAAAAATAAACAAATGAGCCAAGCGCCCAAACGCTGTAATATGAGCAGAAAAAAGGACTGTGAGAGTGTGAGAGAGCGCGCTGTGCACGCTGTAGCTGGAACAGAGCGAATTGACACGAGCGAATTGAAATGAGCGAATTGAAACAAGCGACTGCGTACAGAGCGAACAGAGAGCAGAGCGACTGACGCTGCACAGCCATGCGAGTGTGAGTGGGCAGAGAGAGCATCAGAGTGAGTATAAAACTGAGTGTGAGTTGTTGTTGTTGTTGGGCCAATGGATTTCAAGGAAGTGAAATTGCTGCAGACAGGAGTTTGCCTAAGCACGCCCTTCGACCCGCCTGTCGCTTCCTGTATGTGTGTAAGTGTGCGTGTGTATGTATGTATGTGCGTGCGTATGCGTCTGTGAACATTTTGTTGTTTGTTGCAAAAACACGTTGGGCTTGCCTATGTAAAGCACACACACACACACTCCGCTGCTCACCTCTTCTCTCCTCTCTCTCACTCATTCTACTGCTCAGTGGCTCCACTTAAAAGTGTTATATTGACATTTGGCTACAATTTGAGCTGTCCAAAGCTTTATGATTTATGCTGCGCTGCATATGTAAATGTGTAATGTGTGCATATGCATATGCCTGTGTGCGTGTTTGTGTGAGTGTGCGTGTGTGTGTGTGTGCTGTAATCGTTTGCTCTATTTTTGGGGCTTAGTTGGACAACAGCAGCGCGCTGCAAAGCGTGCTATGAATTCTTGTTGTGGGCGGCTACATTTCGTGTATACAACTAGTTAAATAAAATGAAATTTTCTTCTATATATATATATATATATATTTTTTTTTTTTTTTTTTTTTTTTGCACTTGACCCACCTTTGTTTGGTGTTTTTTTTTTTTGCTGGATTGGATTTTTGTATTGTATTTTATTTGTTATATTTTATTTGATTTGCAGCTGCTGCTGCTTTTTCATGTGGCAAATGCGCGGCACGTTTCAACTAGGAAGTTTCTATTTCGATTTCTCTTACTTTGACAAGGGCACGCAAAAATCTACGAAAATTGCCTTTTTATATGCTTTTAAATGTTGCGCGAGTGTGTGTGTGTGTGTGTGTATGTATGAGTGTGAGTGTGAGTGTGTATTATGCTCGTCAAGTTTTATGTCAGTTCATTCATCGGCCAAAATGTTGGGCATAGGACGCAGGCTGTTGTCGCCTCTGCATGTGTGTGTGAGCGTGAGTGTCAGTGTGTGTGTGCGAGCGTGTGTATGTGTGCGTGTGCTGCGTGCTCCTGCCAATGTCAGATTTGTATTTTAGCGTCGATTTCGTTTTGGCTGCCTTCATATTTTTGCTCTCCAGTTCGATTCTTTTCTGTTTCTTTTCCTTTTTCCGCCTCGTGCTGTTTCTGTTTCTGTTTCAGTCACTTCGTCACTTTTTAATGAATTCAAATTCGGGATTTTCCAGCTGATTTTCAATTAGCATTCCGCATTTCATTTCGACACACGCAAAAATCATTATTCGGTGCGTCCGCCAGTATGCAACGTTTTTTTGCGCTGTCTTTGCGGGCCATGCTGCTGCCTTCAACACACACGCACACACACATTCACATACATGGGCGAGCAGAGAGATAGGCTAGGCCAGGCTGGGCTAGGAGACACACGCGTTCGCGGCACGTTTGCGAACTGGTCGACAAGGGGGCGCGGCTATGGGGCGAGCAACGTGCAACGCAAAGTAGCAGCAGCAGCAGTAACAACAACAGCAACAACGGCAACAACAACAACGACCACGGAATAGCCTAAAATAATGGCAGTCAACAACGACAACGGCAACGGCGACGGCGACGGCGACGGCGACGACGACAGCGACAACCGACAACGTTGAAAGTCAGCAAAAGACTGGAGAGCCCAAAGGCTGCGGAGCCTCAGTCTGCAAATGTCGAATAGTGGCACAGCACAGAGAGCAGAGCGCACTAAGTGCCTCTCTCTCACGAGAGTGGGAGAGAGTGAGAGTGAGAGTGAGAGAGCGAGAGTGCTGCAAATCCTGTGCAGAAGCTCAACTGATTCCGGAACTTGTTAAGCGTTTGCCACATGGGAAACAGCTTAAAGTTAGTTTGTCGCCTATAATAATGATTATGATGATGATGATAGTAATGATGATACTAATTAACTAGCCAATTGTGTTTTTATTAGACAAACAGCTTCGAGTAAATTTACATTGAAGGCATAAAAAAAACCCTAATGAAACTAAGGGACAAATATTGATACGAAGCCAGATTTCATGGGATTTGTAGCGCATTATCGAGGTGCATAGCAATTCATCGACTATACTTGGATGTTTTCTTATTGTTGTTTATTGTAGAGTACATTCTACCTATTTGCTAAGCCAACGTCAAATTATATATTTTCCTCTATATTTCCTTTATTTATTTATTTATTTTTTTTTTTTTGTATATGGTGTGCCTTGAAGTTTTGTATATGTTTTAAGTTTCAAGCTCCGTTTCAATTCACACTTCAACTGCTAAATTGAACGGGTCTCCTTATAAAACAAGCATATATATTTCCGGAGAGATTGATATACTCTGGGAGAAATGGATTCCTATAATAAGTACCATAAGACCTACCACAACTACACGGCCAACCCGACGGTTAGCTACGACTCGCTTAATTGGCGACAATTTCTAATGCTTCCTCTTTATCTGCTAGACTACAACAACTCAAATCAATGAGCAAAAATTCAGGAAGCAATTGGATCATTATGCTGTGTGCAATCAGAAGGAATCAATGCAGGTCAAGCAGAAGGCGGCTCGACCCAAGGAGCTGCTGCAAAAGGCAACTCAGACTTGTTTACGTCACAGTCAGCAGAAACAGAAGCAGCTACAGAAAGAGCAACAGCAACAGCAACAGCAACAGCAGCAGCAACAGCAGCAGCAGCTACTACAGCTGAAGCAGCAACAACAGTTGCAGAAAGAGCAACAGCTACAGAAAGAGCAACAGCAGCAACTACAGAAAGAACAGCAGCAGCAGCAGCAGCAGCAGCGCCAGCACCGTCAGCATCAGCATCAGCATCAACATCAACAGCGTCATCATCAGCATCAGTCGAATCAATATCAGCATCAGCATCAGCATCAGCAACATCCGATAATGGAAACTCTTGTGAATCGAGCTCAGAACAGATCGAAGATTGAACCTCGACCACGGTACGAGAAGTCGAAGTCATTTTTCAATGCGGACTATGTGCCTCAGTCCAGAGGCGCCTATCGCCTGCCTTCGTTGCCTTCGGAAGACAAGCCGGATCGCCAGGGCGCCGACGGAGACTGTTTGCTGTATAAGAACTCAAAGTTTGGCAAGGATTCGGCGTATACTCACAGCGATCATAGCGATCACAGCGAGCAGCTGCTCTCCATTCCCCCAGATCACTCGCCAAGGAAGCTAAAGACTTCGACTTCCATGCTGGAGTCGACACGCGAACGTTGCAGACTAGCCACAGCTCAGTTCAATGCCAAATATGGGGCCACAGATAGCCCATCCTCGAAATCGGCCAGAACTGTGATTACTACCAAGAGTGGCGAGAACTTGCGCTCTGTGGTGCAGTCGGAGATTGAGATGCAGGAGCGAATGGAGAAGTCGATTAGCAAGATAATGTTGCTACCCTCACTTGGCTTGTCGGAAGAAACCGACTGTGCTCCGGTCGAGGATGAGGAAAAGTTCAAAATTCCTAAAAGTGTGTCAAAAGATAATTCTGTACCGATGCCCGCTCCTGCGGATAATCATAATTTCGATTTCTCTGTCGAGGACATAGTCAGCTCCAAGGTCATTGCGCCCATGATGCGACGTGTGCAGCGCATGTATCTTAACAATCTGCAGGAGGAAATGAAGCTAATGGAAGATCTGGAACGCGTGCCGTGCATGGTGGGCGAGGTCTACAGATCTGTAGAGTCTGCGTTTGGGCCAAACATATCGAAGAAAAAGCCAAAGAATACATTTTAGTTTATTGTTTCATATATATTTTCTAATGATTTGTATAAAAGCACACAAACGAGAGTTTTCAAAATATAGCGCCATTCACACGATAACAGTGTGACCAGCTCTGATAGTTGGATAAATGTACGCAAAATTAGTGTTGCAATCGTTTATCGATAATGAGTCACACTGGCTATCACAGTTGTCTGTCAGCTTAAAAAATTAGTTTTCTCAACTTTTGGGTAAAATATACAAAATTTGTAACTGAAATTGCATTATTTACATTGCTATTAAAACAGCGCGCTGTTAATAACAGTGGTAATGTTATTTAGTATCAGCACGCAGCCCTGGTTTCAAAAGGAGGGAGGCGCTCGCATTCCCAAACATTGATTTTTCGTAGTGGACGCCATCGAATGCTGCCAAATTAACTCCATTCACAAATTAGTTGGGAAGTGCAGGAATTTGGCTGTTACAAAATGAGTGGTAAGTTGCTATTAGAGCTGTTCAGTTGGCTAATTAACGTTTGCTTGCTGCGGCTGCTGCAATTGGCGCTTGAGACGGGTTTGTCTATCGGCGTGCATTGCAATTCGCAGTCTACTTTTGAGGGTGGGCACGGCGCCACCCTCAGCCTCAACACCTGCCATTGCACAGACGATGACTTCATCAGTGTTTACACGCCCCTGGTCACACTGCTCTCCTCTCTCTCCTCTCTTTTGCAGGCGACGAGAGCTGCAGCGAAAAGCAGACGCTAGACCTATCCAAGCAGCAGCTGAAGAAGGTGCCAAAACAGGACGATGCCCAGAATATACGCAAGCTGATATTGGACGAGAATGAGCTGCAGAAAATCGACAACATTGATTCGTATCTCAAGATCGAAACGGTGACGATATAGATAATAAATAATACAAATATACAAAATGTCAATATTCTCATGAATGAATTTCTAATGAATGTCCTTTAACCTTTTCAGCTGTCGCTGGCCAAAAATCAATTGCTGCGCATGTATGGCGTCTGTCGACTCCATTGCCTACGCGAGCTGAACCTCTCCTTCAATGGAATACTCTCGATTGAGGGCCTGAAGGAATGCGTTCATCTGCGTGTGCTCAATCTGGAGGGCAACAACATCAAGACCATCGAGCATCTCAATACGAATGTGAATCTGGAATACTTGAATCTGGCAGACAACAGCATTGGCAGCATATCGGATATGTCCTACCTTCGCTCCTTGCGCGAACTCCATTTGCAGGGCAATCGCCTGACCCATCTGCGACAGTGCGACAAGTACTTGCCCGTCTCTCTGGAAACCTTGAACCTGGCGAAGAATAACATAAACGATCTCAATGAGATTTGCACGCTGTCGCATCTGTCGAATCTGCTGAGCATCTCCATAACTGAGAATCCTTGTGTGATCATGACAATGGGAGCGAATAGCACGGAGTAAGTAAAGCTTGGAAGGGTCTCAGCTGTGATCATACAATTGTATGTCCTTCCTCCGCAGCGGCTTTGATTACCGTCCCTTTGTGCTGAACTGGTGCATGAGTCTGAAATACATCGATGGCTACGTGGTGGATCCCATTGAGAGCCTCAAGGCTGAGTGGCTCTACAGTCAGGGACGAGGTCGTCAGTTCCGTGTGGGCGAGCAGGCTGCTCTGGCCAAATACCTAAGCTCGGCCTGCCCACTGGTGGGCAAGGCACTGGAGAAGGAAAACGATCGTAAGTTGCGCTTGATCTTAAGCAAAGCGCAGCATCATCAGCGTCAGCTGCAGGAGGAAATAATGGACAATGCAAATGCGAGTTCGGCTAGCACATCGCCCTCGTCGCATCGCAAGAAGCCTACAAGTCGCATCCAGTCACCGCGCTGTGAGCTCTTGATAAATATTCCATTTGTTAACTAATTTGTAATTGATGTACCCCCCATAGTTTCCCGTTTGAGCGGACGCCAAGGCTCGCCGGAGTCCATGGCGAACAGCTACCATGGCAACAGCTGCAACAACAGCATCAGCAGCGACAACGGCATCTCGAGCCATCACTCGCTGCAGATGAGCACCTCGCTGATAGAGAACATCCGCAATGAGGGCGACAACTACTCGCTGGCCAGCCTGTCCGGCATGTCCAGCAGCGTGACCACCAAGACCTACAACTCGACAGAGTCAACGCCTCGCAACATAACGCCGAATCCCTACAATGGTAGTACCTCGCACCTCGCACCTCGCACTCCCAATCACGTCCAGCTCTAATTGTTGCTCCTCTCCCATTGCATTGCAGAGCAAGCGTATGTGGGTCAAACGCCTGTCGGCGGGCCATTGGCTGCTGCCTCTAAAATGGTGCCTGTGCCGGAGACCCTGATGAGTCCCGATGTCTGTCCCGCCGTCGTTGCTCAGCGAGCCACAGTGACAGCGCTCAACGCGCAGCTGCACAAGAGCAAAGGCAACAAGAACAAAGGTAGACGAGTCTAGCTCTCTCTCTCTCTCTCTCCTCGATTCAAATGTATTTCAAATTTCTATTTCAACATGTACTCAATGTCAGACAACAAACTAAATTTGCCGCGCGTGCGCAGTCCACAACAGCGACGCATGCAGAGCCCCACAAGCAGTCCCCGCAAGACGGAACGAGTACAGCAGCAACAGCAACAGCAACAACAGCAGCAGCAGCAGCAACTGAATTCGTCTTCAATCAGCATAACTGACGGCGGCGGCTTCAGCACTGATGAGGACGGCGAGCTCATCAACGTGGAGAAGCTAAGGACCATACGCAAAATGGCAGCTGAGCGGGCGCAGCAGCAACAGCAGCTGGACAACAACTTGAACTGCGCCGATCGCCTGATAGAGCACGTGACTGAGTCCTCGGCTGTGACCATACAGAAGATGTGGCGGGGCTATCACACGCGCAAGAAAACCAAGGACATTGCCGAGAAGCTGCACAAACAGCGCACGCACGAATACATCGAGTAAGCATCGATATATCGATATACACATTCTCCCTCTCTCTATCTCTCTCTGTGTCTGTCCATAGCAAACTCAACAAGGACATGATAATGACCAAGGTGCAGCTGCAGAACGAGCGCAAGATACAACAGCTGCAAATGCAGGCCATCAATGCGCTGTGGAAGAAGGTGTCCACCATGCAGGTGGACCCGAAGGCTGGCGGCGAGCACTGCACGAACTCGGAGGATGCGAGCAGCAGCAACAACAGCAACAGCAATCAGTCACAAGTGTGCCTCGATCAGAACTCGGCCGCTGTTGTCAATGATCTGGCTAAGCGTTGCACAATGCTTACCGATCAGGTGCAACAGCTGCAGAGCTCGATCGGCACGATTGTCAATTGCCTGACCATGGTCTGCAATTTGCCGCAGGATGCGCTGAAGAAGCACGTCAGCAACAGAAGCAACTGCTCCGACAGCGACGACATCGAATATACCAGCTTTGAGCCACGTGATACGAGCTCCACGCAAACGGATTTGATTGCTGTGCATACGCCGCAGCTCGAGGATCTCAGCAATTTCCCGTTTACTAAGCCGCGGCCATCGACATTGGCGCTGGAGTCGAAGCATGATGCAGTGCAGCCGCAGCCACAACCGCAACCGCAGCAGCAGCACCAGCATCAGCCGCCGACAAAGCCGGAAGAGACTGAGGACGAGGAACAGAAGGAGAACATTGAAATTTGTGATGCACAGGAGTAGGAGTTGGACTGCTGGAGAGCAACCCACTTCGCACGCTTTATAGGGCACAGAGATCTCTAGCTTTTTAGCTTTTTGCAAGCATCGCAGTGGACGCAGCCGCAGCAAACGTAACAACAATTAAAGCAACCAATTTATGTATATTATTTTCTTTTTTATTATTATTTTTTGGGCCTATGTACGTACGTATAGTAAACCAATTTATTTGTTTACTAGTTTCCTTAATTTATTTTATACTTTTTTTTACGTTCATACACATAGTTTTTGTTACTAGTTTTCTTACTCACTTTTTTATATCTTTTATGTACGTACATAATTTAATTTGTTGTTACAACAATTGCGAGAGGAAAATAATTCGTTATAAAATATACATTAGCTAAACTTTTTGTAATGCACAATCAAATGCATAATCCAAATTCATTCTTCAGTCTTCGGCGCTGCTCTCCTCCGTATCCGTTTCCTCCTCCTCGTCGTCGTCATCCATATTCGCGGGTCGATTTGTGTTGGGTGGCAGCGAATCATCGCTATCGGAACCAGAAGCGCCGGAATGTTCGGCTTTGCTGCTTGGCGTCGTCGGCTTCTTGGCAAAGCGTTCCGGCCATATGCCAGCTTTTGTGAATTCTTTGATGTGCTCGGGAGTTAGGATTTTGCTTATTTCCGCCTTTACTTTGTCGCCCTCCTCGATGGGTTCGACCAATATGTAATCGCCGCGCTTTACCCACACATTCTTGCGAAATTTGTTGGGCATAGAGACTGCGAGGGATATCATCGATAATAGCATCAAAGAGCACATCTATAAATGGTTAGTCCTGATCTCACCCAGAAAATTCTCTGCTGTCGCCGATTCCACCTCGTGCAGATTGTTGCCGCGGCTGCTGACAACACGCACGATCTGCTGCTGTTCCGTGGGCAGGGAGTAGTCGTCCTCCATCATCTCCTTGAGCACATGTTTGCGCCGCGTTGTGTTTGGATGTGACATGCTTGGAATATAGTTGAATTTCTTCTTCTACGGAGCGCCAGATTTTTGTTTACTCAATTTGGTCGAGCGTTAAAATGTGTTGGCGATGGTGGTGGTGGTCGCCCGATAACTCCAATTTAGATAACTTAGCTGCTGTTATTGTTGACTCGTTGTGCACCGGCTGTGGCGGCCGGCGATAACTTCAATTTAGATAACTAAGCAAACGGCTATCGTTTTAGCGCTTCTGCGTTGCAAAATTTCTTATAATTTTGGCGCTAGTATTTTTGGTATTTTCTCATATTGTGTGTAAAATTTAAAATTGAATAGTTGTTGCTTAGTTTTGAATGGTGCGAGGAGTTTTCTGATTTGTTTATTGTTAAGCTTAAACGAAATGTACGGCTAATTTTGGACTAACAACTAGTTTTTGCTGCGTCTCACGCGAGCTTTGCACGAAGTGCGATCCCTAGTGGAGCTATCGCGGCGATTTTCCACCGCCAATTGCTTCGGCTTTTTGATACTAAAAATAGACAGACAAGAAAATGAAGAATTCCGTTAGCTGCGTATCTCACACAGTCTTGTCGTAATTAACTTACATTTCGTTTTTGAGAATAGTAATTTCTTTTTTCCATATATCCTTAAAATCATTGGTGAAATTCGTCCAATAACCAAAGAACTGGTCGGGCGTGCATTGAGACAAGGTCAGGGTGCAGCCCTTGGGAGAGAAGTGGTAGAAGCGCATGGTTTCCAGGAAGAGTTCCCGGCACTCCTGAATCAGCTGATGAAGCTTGGCAACTGACTTCTCGGCGCTGGCCGTAAACTCCTCCATTTTGGACTTGAAAGGCTCGCGATGTTCACTGGATGCGCTCAGCACCAAGGCCGTAGTCTGTTTACAAGCTGCAAGGAGCAGGAGACTCCGAATTAGTTGCAGTAGATATTCCTGGAATCCGTATTCAACTCACCCGTTAGCTTTCTGTTTAGATCGTTGATTTGCTGCTGCACCTCGTCAAAGTCCAGCTGGGCAGCTCGCTCCACATCCGAGGGCTCGGGTATGGGCAGAGTTATCTCGTGCAGGGTCATCTCCTTGCGTCGCTGAGCAATGTAGGTGCGCACAATGAAATGCAGGAGGGTCGTGTGCGATTCCTTGGACTTGACATCCTTGAGCTTGCCCAGAATGTCCAGATTGAAGCCATCCGCCTGGCCGCGCTGTCGATTGCCCCCGTTCATATAGTTGCCCAGCGTTAAAATTATGGAAAAGACCAGCTTGAGATCCTCGCTCTCGATCAGCTGCTGGGAGAGCTGGGACACCGTCTCCAGCTTGCGCACGAGCAGCGTGACAGACTCCTCAAACTCCGCCTGAAAGACAATGCACGAGATGCGCTCGCTGGCCATGGATATGAGCGATATGTCGCGCAGGAACTGCTCCGGATGATCGAGTGGTATATCGCCGCCATCGGCCTCCCGGATGCGCTGAAGCTCCTCATCCGTGGCGCGCATGAAGCTGATCTGCTGCAACGTCTCCAGGCTAATCACTGACGTGTCCACATGGTAAATGGCGTGCTCTATCTCACTGGCGGGCACGTGCAGGCTTCTCGAGAAGATGCCCACATTGCGCGAGCGCTTCGGGTCGAGCACCTTGATAGACTTCTCACGCTTCGGCTTCAGCTCCTTGGGCTTGCTGACTGGCGCAATGGCTTGCCGCGAGAAGAGCTCCGTAAACTCGTCTATATTGTCCAGCGGCGTCTCATCAATCTCCGTCCATATCTCCTTGCAGGGTGGAGGAACTGGCGGCATAGCAGCTGGCACTGGCAGATCCTCCGGCGAACTAGTGCTGTTATCCGCACTATCCGTCGAATTGGCCACCGACGGAGGACGCGGCACGGGCGGAGCTGAGGTAACGATTCGCGTCCAATACAGCGGACGCATCGGCTTGGGCGGATTGACGGCGCTCTTGCGCTGAACTGGAAAAGGTTAAAGGGTTAGTTAGAGATTCCATTTGGCGGTTGAGTATGCTGGACTACTTACCGCATGTGCGTAGGAACCAATTTCCCTCGGCGGGATCTGGCAGTGGTGCAGGCGCCAGCGAGGAGCCCGACTTGGACGTGCTTAAGGGTGGAGGAGGAGGCGGCATATTGCCGGGGCAAGGTGCACCTGGTGGTGGTGGTGGAGGCGGACCAGCACTGCCTGGCGGTGGAGGCGGCGGTGGCGGTGGCGCAGCGCCACCTGCATTGCCAGGCAGAGGAGGAGGCGGAGGTGGTGGCGGAGGCGGCGGTGGTGGTGGTGCAGCTGCTGTTGCTTCTGTTGCACCTGTGGCTGCTCCTGCAGAGATTCCCCCACACTTGCACGAGCCCTGACAGGTGAGTTCCTCCGTCTGGCTGCCCGCATCCGCATAGCTCTTGCTCTCCGCGGGCCTGTTGTACTCGTAGATGGTCGCCTCGCTGGCATTGAGCAGCTCGGTCAGGTTGATGCAGCGCTTGGAGGGCCGCCGCGGCGGCTCATCGACGCTGCTCAGCAGCTCGTTGACCACCGCATGCACCTCGGCCAGGGTGGCGCAGTTGAGCAGACGCTTGCGCAGGATCTGCTGCAGCGTCTTCTGGCTGTCCGTTTGCGCCGAGCTGCCCTCGTAGTGCCCCTTCTGCACGGCGGGTGTGCTCGAGAAGGGCCAGGCGGTCACCTTGTCCAGCTTGCCAGGTGTGAGCGGCAGCGAGGTGGTGGGCTGCTCCGTATGCGTCCACTGGTACATCTCGTAGGGCTGCGCACACAGAGAAAAACAAAGAATATAAATAAGCGTAAAAAAGCTGGCAAAAAGCAGATCATCTTGCATTAGCCCATTGACTTCTAATTGCAGCTCGAGTGCAGCTCCCTCTCTCTCTCTCCTTCTCTTTCTCTTTCTCTACTTTTTTCATCTGCCTCTCAAGAGCTTAAAAGCCAGCTACCCCAACCTAGTCACACACATTTGCAGTGTTGAAGTGTCTAAAGCTCATCTCTTCAAAATTTGTGCACATGTCATTGTGTTGCCACGCCCCACGCCCCACAAACCCCCTTCGCTGCCTTACGCCCACTTGGGTCTGTTGGGACCACAGGTTGACAGTTTTTATACCTTTTCAAATAACTGTGCAATGCAGTTCAGTTCGCTCGAGTCGCTTGGCCTTGCCTGGCTAGCTGGCGGCCAACTGGCTGGCAAATACTTTATCTTGCTGACAAAATTTGCTGTCAAGAACGTTAATACTTTCTGTTTTGCAAGCAGCTTTGTCTTAATCTGATTCGATATACGTTAATAAATAAATATAAATAAAATCTTTTGTCGATTTTCTTAAATATATAAAATAATTATTTCTTGATTTTTCATGACGTGCTTTGCAGGCAAAGCAATAAATTTATAAAAGTTATAAAAATGTAAAAGCCAAAGCCAGAAATGTGTGAATGAAAAATGTTTCGACTATTTAAAAATTTACAAAATTCTGTGAATTTTAGTATAAACATACGAAAAATATTTTGTAACTTTTTGAAAAATGATTTCATATTAATTATTATATTTATATCGAGTTGTATTGAGCGAAATACAATATAATCAAATCTTTGTAGAATAATATATAATATTCTAATACTGTGAAGACACATAGATAAAAGACATATTCATATATATGAGATCTGGTTTTTCTGTCCTTTCGTGGTGTAAGTATATTCAATTTTAGTTTTTTTTGAATATCCATTGATTATTGCTTATTCAAAAATATCATATATATAGAGAAAAGAATTTGGAAAATTTTTACCTAAAAATAGAAGAGCTTTAACGAATCTTCTTGCATTTCAAACTGCTCTCAATATTGAATTAAAGCGTATTCGAAATTCGTTGTTGCCTCACATCGTTTTGTTATGCATTCGCCTCTGTTTTATTGCTACACTTTTTGCATCTTTTAGCTATTTCGCATTGTCATGCGTGAGATTTTCAGTTGGGTTTTAGCTTGAGATTAGAATTGTTGCCAGCAGCGAAGAGAGCTCTGGAGAGCCCTGAAGCAGCGAGCAAAGTTGAACAGGGATTGCGATTGGGATTTGGACTGGGATTGGGCTTAGGTGAGGGGATGGGGGATTGGCTTGAAATGCGACAGCCGCATGCAAATTGTTTGGCACCGCCAAAGTGCAAACACTTGAGCAAATGGCGTCAAGTGCGATAACGTGACCACGGCACTGCGCCCACAGAGGGAGAGAGAGAGAGAGAGAGAGAGAGAGAGGCAAGGGCAAGTTCAGCTTCAGCTGCGGCACTTTGCATGCATTCGTCATCCCAATTGGTTGCCCCATCAGCTCCGAATGATTAGCGGAGATTGTGTGCAACTGAGTGTGTGAGTGGCTGTACGAGTGTGTGTGTGTGTGAGTGTGTGCGTGTGCGTGTTTGTGTGGCTGTGAAATGACGCCACATAATTGAATTTCAATTTTTAATTGCATTTCGTGGCATTAAGCCAAGTGTTTGGTGCGACGCTGCGCAGCCACAGACTTGGCCGGCACTCGAAGGAGTTGATGCTTTGCTGGTAAATGTTGTTTTATTTTTACACAATTTAAATATGATTTAATGGAGGATAAACCTTCAGTTCTGATGCTCTTGAAGAAGATTTGGAGAAACTATAGGAATGTTAAGCTGGCGAGTTGGATAGGCGGACAAATAAACAGACGGACGGATCGACAGACAGATGACAGCTAGACAAACGGAGAATAAACGTATAGACTGATGAGCAAATAGGGAAACGGGCGGACAGAGAGCTGCGCGGAAGGGGGAAAAAGGGACGTACGCAGGTATATACTGACGGATGAATAGACGGTCAGACAGACGGACGGATGAATAGCGGATGACGGCAGGTGGAATAGACAGCCAGACAGATGGACGGACCAACGAACGAGCAGGAGACGGATAGAGCGACAGACGACGGGAGAGATATGGACGGCGACAGACAGATGTACGGAGGATCACACAGACGAAGAGACAGAAAGATGGACAAACAAACCAGCAGACGGACGAAGGGCAGACAAACGGACGAATATACGGACAGAGGGGTAGACGGACGTAAGGACAGATAGATAGACGGACAAACGAAGAAGCAGGCGGAGGGAGGAGGCGGTCTGATGAACAATCGGACAGAGGGGCAGACGGACGTAGGGCTAGACAGATGGACGGGCATGCGGATGTAGGACAGACGGACTTGACTAGATAAAATTAGATCGTCTTCCTCAGAATGGAATATAATTACATACTCTCGGGCTTCTGCCACGCCTCCTTCTGCATACACTTTCCAAAAACCTATAAATTCTTCCCTAAATTCTCCTTCTAAATGGGCTGCTGTCATAAAAATGCATAAGCTTGCTTTAAATTGAATATGCGATGTTTATGCTGAAGTCTCTCAAGCAAAAGGCAAAGTCCCAGGCAAATCTCTAAATGAGTTTTCTAATCAGTTATCAAGTTGGTTGCTCCCTGAAGCGGAGCACATCACAGCTAATACCCTGTAATGCAAACTATTTACGTTTGGCTGCGCTTAAAAGTGCCGCAGGGGTAGCTCAAGTTGCCGCCTGCCTCGTGCCTCGTGCCTCGTGCCACTTGGCGATGCGCCACACACACAAAAGAATAATAAACGCTGAACTTGCCACAAAGTAATAAAAACGCACGAAACTTTCAATGAGCTGCAACGGCGAGGGGCAGAGAGACAGAGAGAGAGAGAGAAGGGGCAAAGAGAGTGAGAGAGAGGGAGAGAGGAAGTTAAACAAAAATCTAGCTTAAGCTGGGAAGCTGTTTCTGGCCTGTTGCCCAAAAACTTGATGACGCGCGCATTGACAACGGACACGCAGGACACTGGACACGCCGGGATACACGCCAGGACACGCCAGGACATGCGGCGCAAGGAAATTCGTGATATCATAATCTGTGGAGCTCAAGTATCATCACATAGAAAATCACTTAACGCTGTTGTCCGTCTGCCTCCCCCCCTCCCTTCAGACTGCATTGAGGGATTTTGAGGTTAAGCTGCTGTGGCTAAAACTTTTTCTGGTTGTTGTTGCTTTTGTTGCTTTTTCCTTGTTTTTAGCCTAAACTAATTTTTGAAGCACACGGACGAGTGCTTGATTAGTTGTTAGTATAATTCTCCCTCTCCCCCCTTCCCCCTCTCTCTGCTTCTCTCTTTCCATTTGACATTTTTTCTTTGCATCTGTGGGCGTTTCAAGCTGTGGGCGTGTCCCTTCGGTTAACCAGCAATTAAAGCTTTTGAGCGTCGGCCAAAAAAAGCAAACGTATTACATAGTCCATTAGTCAGCCGCACGCTTAGCGTCCTGCAATTGCAGGACACGCCCCTAAAACGCCTCCGCCTGCCCACGCCTAGCCACGAGGGCAGCCAACTCTTTAGATTTCATAATTTAGCAGAGCAACAAGAGGAACTCAAAGTTGTTGATTTTTGTTTGGTTGAGCTTCGTGATAGACGGAATACTCTGTTTCCAGAGAAAGAGAGAGAGAGAGAGAGAGATATTGCTGCTAAATGGCGAAGCTCTAAAGTTTTAGAGCAAGGCAGATATATTCAAATATATAGATATATATAAGTAGTCAAGGATTAATCCGCCCCTAATCCCTTTAAGGCTTTAGCCTTTTGCATTAGTTTTAATATTTATTTGGCCGGAAATTATTTTACTGATCCGTCCAATGCATATAGATCATAGACGTTTGACATTTTTATAGATCATTTATCTATATGTTACTAATTATATAGTTAGCTGTTATCGTATTATTCGCAAAGCTTAGTCACTTTGTTAAAGCATTTTTGCCGTTTGGCTGAAAGCTTTCTGGTGATGTTTAAAATGTTGCACGAAGTGTTAAACAATCTGTTATACGAACTGTTATACTAGCTAAACACTACTGCGATTTGCTTGAAATGATTATATTGGGTTAATGTTATACAAAGTGTTATACGAACTGTTATACGAGCTGTTATACTAGTGGCAAATGATGTTCGATTTGAGGAGTTATTAGTCTGTTATACAAAGTGTTATACGAACTGTTATACGAGCTGTTATACTAGTAGCAAATGATGTTCGATTTGAGGAGTTATTAGTCTGCCTAAGTCTACAAATAACATCACATAGATTTTCTACAGTTTCTATAGGCTACTTATGCATCTGTATATATCTACTTAAAGATTTAAATTCAATATAATAATGGCTATATGCTCTCTTTTCCTAAATAGTGTGTAAAAAGGCTAGAAAACTCCGCTGTGCTGCTGGCCAGTCAAAAGACAAGAGAGAGAGAGAGAGAGAGAGAGAGAGAGAGTGCGAGCGAGACGGAAGAGATTGAGAGCTGAAAAGTTGACGGCAAAGTTTTAACAAGTTCTGACACTTGCAGGCTCGCCAGCTGAAGGGCAGGAGCAGCGGCAGGGGCTGGCGGCACTGGGGGCAGGGCACGAGGCACAGCTGGAGCGACAGGTGAGGGGGTAGTGGGACGATGTTGAGGGTGCCGCAGCAGCAGGAGCAGCTGCTACTGCTGCTGCTGCTGCTGCTGATGCAGCTGACATGTAGAGCTAGGCAAAAGGCTAAAATGAAAGTGCACTGCGATTTGCACTGGCAATGGAATTGCTAATTTCCGGGCACAACTTTGCGGCTCATTTTTGTAGTCAAGTTTTAAGGCAAAGAATTTTTAGAATATGCATAAGAGAACAAAGTGGGGAGTGGCGAAACTGTAGGAGAGAGAGTGTGGGAGATGGGAGGCAGCCAGAGAGCAGTTGGCTCAACTTGAGCTGCTGCCTCATAGCTTATCAATAGCTAATGACTTGGACCAACAAAGTTACACAAGCAATGGAGGCGGCGTGGGCGTGGAGGGGTCATGGAGGCTGTCTATCTATTTCCGTTAGCACGGCGTGACAACTTCCGTTCGCTGACCAATTTCCCGTTTAGCCAGAGACAGAGACAGATACAGATACAGATACAGAGAGAGCGAGTGAGAGGGAGAACAATTTGGGTTCATTGAACTTACGCTGAAGCCGGACGGCGCATCCTGCTGCTGCTGCTGCTCATTGGAGATCTGCTTCAATACGCCCACATATTTGAGATTTTGACAGAACTGCAGCGTCATCGCATTCAGAGATTCCTGGCTTAAAGTGCCCAAGGCGGCGCTGCTCTGCAGCGTTGATATTAGCCATTTGATCAGCATTTGACCTGCAACGAGAGCAAGGGAGAGAGAAGCTTTTAAATATATAATCTAATTAAAGATAGCAAAACACTTATTACTTTTACTTATATGTATGTCTCTACGTCAGATATCTGCCTAAATTATACTCCAGAATATTGAACGAAATGAAAAGGATATTGTACAAGCAAAGATTGACGGCCTGGCGAATCGGATAAAGCTGTATCGTCTAGTCATAAATCAAGAACCCCAGAATAGAGATACAGGATAGAAATCCTCTACTAATTCGTTATACTTTGATGCGGTTATTTATTCATGATAAATACGATTCTTAACTCTAAGAGGAATTTAAGAAATATAGAGATAATCACTTAAAATAAAAGATTCCATATCTGATACAAATAAGGTTTAAGGCTTCAGATTTTCCTGGAATTTCGTATAGGTAATATTGAAACTACAGACTTCTGATATATTGATTAATAATGTTTTATATATATCAAATATATAAAATTAGGTTCATATTCATTATAATTGACGTCTAAGAAAACAATTATCCTTGGTATTTAAATTATATATTAATTTTTATATCCAGTATATCAAAATTCATATATTTTATACACATTTTTCCGCATATCTAAATACATGAATACTTGAATTTGGCAGCTTCACCCCCGCAGGTATTCTTTGAGCTGTTTTCCTTTACTCATTTCGTATATGTATGTATATGTATTTATTTTCCATGTTACACACAATAATTTAATACAATGGACGCTAAACTGATTAAGTTCGAAATTTGTGGGAGTCAAAGACTTGACTCGGTCTATTGTGCGTACTATCAGCGCCAAGGGAGGCGGGGGCGGGGACAGGGGCTCCCATATAAACTTTGTACACAGCTGCGGCTCGAAGCCCCATGTTGAGGCCGAGACACAATGATTTATGCGTGTGTGCGTTAGCAGAAAAAGTCGAAAAAAGAAGAGGAAGAGAAAGACGAAGACGAAGAGGGTCAGCCTAGAGGAGGGTGTGCGAGTGCGTGGCTGGGTTGGGTTGGGCTGGGAGGTTTGCTTGCAGACGTGTTGGCTACCAAAAATATTAGGCATAAATAAGTTTAAGCATTGTCCAAAGAAATGGCCAAACGGAACAAAAATCAACTTGGCCAAGACATAAAATACTTCCAGCGAGCAAATACTCTACATTTACTTATCGCTTATTCAATGCGAATGCTTGACAATTGATAGGAAGGCAAAGAAATGGCAGTAGGTAAGTATGGATATTATTATATTATATTATATTCAGTTAAGTATGAATATTATTAAATTATATATTCACTTAAGTATGGATATTAGTTTGGATTTAATAGAAGCTTTTGAATGTCAGTCAGTTGATAATATATTGAAGGCTTCAATCAGATAAGATCTGTCCACAATCGGACTTTAAGGTAAATAAAACCAACTTTTAAATATATAAATTTTAAAAATATTTTTCAAATAATTTTCAAACTCCTCTTAGGTCTATCAAATATTGAAAACTATAAAATAATCAAAATATGCGAAAAAAAAATGATAAGTATAAGATAAGGTATAAATCATATTTACTTCGGAAAGAACGAAATGAATCAACTTTTGATTCACTTTTGACACAGAAAATAGCTAACAAATGAATAATAAATAGTTTCGATAATTCAAGAGCCTAAGAGTTCAACAAATTCTCTTGTATATATGATTCTTAACACAAACTCCCAATTTTTCAATCACAAACTCCGCAGCATAATTCACATACCCCAATTATGTTGTTGAGTGTAGCACAAATAAAACTTACGCTGGCAGTAAGCGCGTGTAGCTGAAGAGAGAGCGCTATTAGGAGCGGGAACAGGAACGGGAACGTTAGCGGGAACTGGAACTGGAGCTGGCACGTGAACTGGAACTGGTAGGGGCAGAGGCCGCGCCTCCGCTAGCTGAGGATAAAGCGCGTGTGGGTCAAACCGAACGCTGACAATGTGAACACTAATGCTAAGCGAACGACTTTGGCGGGGAGCGGCCGCAGCCTTAGCGGCGAACGTCGCCGCTGCCTCTGGCCGATAGAGGGCGACACCAGGTGTTGGCTGGGGCTTAGAGCGTGCGAGCTGCACGCGCTTGCCCGCCATTGACATTAGCTGCAGATAATGGGCGGGCGCTGCCTGGACAGAGCTGAAAGCTTCTTCTTCATCCGGCTGATGCCACATAATGCCACAATCTGGCAGGCTAATTGGCACGTGATACTCCGGTGGAGGTGGCGACTCCTGCTGCTGCTGCTGCTGCTGCTGCTGCTCTAACTGTGGAACATGTCTGGCTAGCAGCGGACACCAGACGTTGCTCAAACCCGGCTTTATGCCCGGGCTGCTGGACATGCTTCTGCTCAGAGAGAGAGAGAGGGAGAGAGAACTCGAAACTATTTGCAACTGAAGCGCGTTGTTGACTGTTGACTGCCGAGTGTTGAGCTCACAATTAAGTCATTCACTACTTTGCGCCCGGACAAAATTAAAAGTGTCGACACTTATCAAATATTATCAACAACAAGTTGTGCGAGTCAACGCTCGAGCTTCGGCTTGTTTTCGCTGTTGATAAGTGACAGCCGCTGTGTGACACCCTTCGTTGCGCTACCTAGAATATGTTTCTGTGTCGCTAGACCTGAGGGAATCGTATATAGCTAGGCTAGGGAAGTGCAGTTGCCGAACGCCCTAGCAAGGTCGCTCGCTTATCAGTCACGGTCTGATAACAACAACTGCAAGTCTTAGACTTTATTTTCTATACTCTATACCCTGTAATTTTGAAAAGTGTTACGAGAGGTATATACGTCTAGACTACATCTACTTCAAATCGATATATCTCGACTGGCAATTGAATCTAGCGTCATGTTAGATCTTATCTCAAGCAAAGATTCCTAACTCTGCAGAACATTGGTTATTCGATATATATCGAAAGATAGTATAACCATATTTTCCAGAGAGTTGAAATCGTTCTACTACTTCTGATCGACTGAGCAGCTGACCTCTCAGATCACATACATATCACTTGAAACCGATATATATCGATTAAAATTATTTTAATATAAAATATTAAATAAATATATGATATCTACCTAGCCCATTTTCTTAGACCAATATTCTCAATTCTATTAGCAATTGAATCATGTGCCTAAATTTGTGGGTCATTTCTAATATTGATTTGCAATTTCGTCCAGACCTCAACGAAAATGCGTCAGAGCTCGTTCATAGAACTGACTCATTCACAAATGAACTCTGAGACCACGTAAATAAGTGAATGCTAATCTAAGAAAACTCTTTTCGATAATGAAATCAATAATATTGAATGATTTGGTCTACTTTTCTGCTTTCTAAATTCGCACAAACTAAATGAGTTCGATTAGAAAATGCGCTGTAAATCAATTGAAATGGTTTACGATATTTTGACTTTTGATTAATCAGTTAATATCTCCGCCATTTTGAAGTGTTTAGCGATTATGAAGACCGAAACAGTTAACGTATTGCAACTGATAGCATAATTGATATAACAGTCGCTAGTCGATTCGATTAAAGAGCCGATGAGAGAAAGGGGCAAAGAGAGAATCTACACTAAGCGTGAATGTCAAAGATAAGTACAAAATCAAATCCTTATCAAAATGGCCCAAGACAAATAACGATGATTTAGCTAAAAATATATTTGGAACAAGTTTTATGAACAAATTCACTTAATTTTTTAATGAGCTACCAAATTGAGATATTTTTTAGTATATAAACAAATTGAATTGGAGTTAGTTATATGAACTCGAACATCAGTTATTTTGCTTATATTTATAATATATTTTATTTTTAATAAATTGCAAAAAAAGCACTCAAAAATAAACTGCTTAAATTAACTAGTTCATAGATTCATTTAATATAAGTTTTGAATAACAATATATTATGTCTCAATACTTTCTTTAAAAATTCTTAAAAATTGAAACTATTTTTAGGAGCTAGTTCTTTCTTAACCCTTTATATGGCACCACGTCCGATTTTGATGCGGTTTTTTTTATTAGATAGAAAACTGAAAATAAAAAATACACTTTTTTTTCGTTTTTCAAAATTTTGATTCAGTACGATTTTATAAAGGAAAAAGGATTTGTTGCAGATATGCAACAGATGTGCTTAAGGGGGAAAAAAAATTACTGATAGTTCTCTGGGTATTTAGAAGAACGTAATATTTAATTTGGATTTTCTTAAACTATTTAACATATTTATTTAATGACTATACGACTATTTATCTTAATAATATATTTATTAAACTTTAATTTAAGTGGAAATTTTTAAAACAATTGTTTCTCTTGTTGAAACATAAGGCCACTTCACATTTCCCACACATTACTTGCGAGAATCCCGTACACTTCGGGTACTTGCACCTTATTCGTTTTTCACCCCACAAAGGCCAATGTCCAAATTCATCCTGCCGTACCATTCGATTTGGCACGCGTTGCGTAGGACCTCTTTGTTTTTTTTGCTGCAATTCGTTCTCGAGCATAGAACTTCTTTTTCCCATTATTGATTTGGTATCAATTTTTGTTAGCACCTCTGCAATATTTATCCGAAACTCGGAAGATCCTAAGAGTTTAGTGCTTGATGCATTCGCCTTATGAACGCGTTTGTACAAAAGCCAAGCATTACTCACTGTCAAGTCGAGTAGATGGTAAAAAATGCGAACCTGCCAGCGTCTACTTCTTAGTAAAATAATGCTGTCAATCAGATCAACATCTCCCATATAGCTATTGTATTGTGCTACTGCAAAGGGTCGGTCAATCTCTACGTATTTCTTTTTGGCTTTCTTGAATCGAAGTGCTTTGTCCTCTGGTAGTATTCCAGCATAGTTGGATGCCAATGATACGACTTTATTATCCACCCATGATGTTACTGATATGTCAACTCCGTCAAAATCAGCGACATATTCTACAGACGTACCCCTTGGATGCTTCTTCAAATTAATATTATCAATTGTTTTGTTATTTGGAATTCTGTTTCTTCGAATAGTACCCAAAGCTAAAATTCCTTCATCCGCTAAGTATTTCAAAAGGGGCAATGAATTGAAAAAATTGTCAAAATAAATTCGAAAGTTCTGATGCCTGGGCACTTCTCTGACCATTCTAACAACACAGTTTGATGCCGCACCTAGATCTGGTTCGTTAGGCAAAACTTTGTTTTCATTTCCTGAATCTATCTCAAACTTATAGCAGAAGCCTGAATGACCGATAAGAACATAAATTCTATATCCCCATTTATGAGGTTTGTTCGGGTTGTATCTTTTCATACGAAATCACTTTCTTCATTGGCAGAAAAATCGAATTCGTCCTCGCTCTCCAAACTATTAAAAAATCTTGCGATTTCCGAAGGTGTCAATCCCCTTGCGGACATTATTTCTAAGTAAGAAATACTGTCTACAAAAAATACAAAAATATAAATATGTGTAGGTCGGCCTCAAAGAAGAACATAAAACACATAAGACAATCCAAAATAAATTCATAGCAACACATAATGACACAAAACAACAAAAGAAGTATATAGTGACATATAAAACATAAGCACAATAAATGGTATGTTGCATAAATGCAACAAAATTGAGAGTGCAAAAAAGAAGTCCTAATAGTACTTTGTTGCATATCTGCAACATACCGATATTCAAGAGTTACTCACAATACACAACAACAAACCCAAAAACTTGATTACAAACGCATTATTAATATAGTTACCTTATTTAAAAAGTAGTTGTTCGCAAATTAAAAATTTTTGTTATTAGAAAAATTTGCAAATATAAAATTGATTTGGACACCATATACACAACTCACTAAATTGGCGGGAAATTTTAATATTTGTATGGCAAGACATGTGGACAAGTGTAACCAGCTACAAAAATCGAAAAAACACATATTTCTGACTTATAAAAGAATTTGCTATACCACTTTCTTGATACCCATTGCGAAATAACTCAATTTAAACGGTATGTTGCAGATATGCAACAAGGCCGTATAAAGGGTTAATTTCATTTGATTGAACTCTTTCATCTGTACTGTTATCTTTTACTGTAACAGAGCATTTACATTCAATAAGAATATCAACAAATAAACTGTTACTTGATAGAACTAGTTCATTTGATAAATTTGGAATATTCTTTATTCTATTTTCTACTGCTAGTGATCTTCTCGTGAACTAGTTCCTGGCGAAACTATTTTTACGCCGCAGCTCCAGTCAAAGCGCAATAGATCCAAACCCAAAACCGTCATCAAGGCCCTGGAAAACCCGCACTCTGATCATTAGGCTCATGTAATCAAAACTGATAAGCGGACGCCAATGATATGCGTGTCGAGGCGAGGCAAGTTTGGGTGGGGTGGGGCACAAGGTAGACCTTAGTGGCCAGAGGGTGAAGGATGGGGCTTTGCCATGGGGTAGATGTGTCGTCGTCGGCGTTTGGCAACTTTTGATGAAACCGCGTAAAGCGTTGGCCAACAAATTTGCATAACTGTTTCGTTCGTCCCGGCCAAGTGGACAGCGAGTGCAGGGGGGCGTGCCATGATTGCGGCTGGTAGGGGAGGCGTGACGCTGCACGCATGCATGCGCTGCATTCATCAACGGACAAACGCGTCCACGTCGACAGCGACGTCAACGGCGACTGCGACTGCGACGCTGGCGCTAACGTTGCAATTCGAACGCAGACAGCCCAAACACTTTCGCCCCAAACAACGGACAACAAAGCGCTGAAAATGAAACGTTGCTCACAGGAGACCACAAAGCGCTGGCAAGAGCAAGAGCGAAGCAACTGCATGCAAAGCAGCAGCTTGACTAGCAGATACCCTGGGAACAAGTTTTGGCTCAATAACTATTTCAATAGAAATAGATAATTGAAACGCTAAGAAACGAAGCAAAGTGCTTATCGATATATATCGATGTATGTAAAAATGATATAAAGTATAGTTAAGGATCAATGATTAGAAATAATTGAGCTTACTGCTATATCCTATATGATATGTGATATATATGAAAATTACAAAATAAAGATATACTGTCTTCAGCATTTCTAAGCATCGATAATTATCGATATATAATATGCAAGCTTCATTACATCGATTTTTGAGATTTATCAATTATATTTTCATAAGATTTTCATATATTGTGTTAACTTTGACACAAGTTCAGCATGCCCTACAAATATATATACAGGTTACAGGGTATCCATCAAGCAGCTGCAACCGCATCTCTAGCCCTTCATTCGCTTAAGCCGAAACCAGCCAACTTGAGAGCGCTATATCCGTCTACCAAAATATTGTTTCATTACGCGTTGCCCAAACATTGTTGAGGGGCCACCGGATGCGGATGCGGATGTGGGTGCGGGTGCGGACGTGGTTGCGGATGCGGTTGCGAATAGCAGTCACTATTCGCTAGTTGCAGCAGGAGGAACAGGAGCAGCGCCAGCGGCAGCTGCTTTTGGTGGCAAACGTGACGTTGCCGGGCATATAAATCAGATTTTCGGGTGGGGGGCGACGACGGCGGCGGTGGCCGCGACAAAAACGACAGCAAGGGAAGAATTGATGGCCACTTCAGACAAACTGACAAGCGGGAGGAGCAGCAGCAGGAGTCGCAAGAGGAGCAAGTAGCTGCCAGCTCAAAGATGCGAAGGACAGCAAATTGCGTTGGATTTCAATGCAACGAGAGACGAGCCAGAGGCAGCAGCAGAGGCAGCGGCAGAGGCAGAGGCAGAGGCAAAGGCAAAGCCGGAACGCTTTTGTTGTTTGTGCAGCGAGGCGTTAAAATGTTTGTTTGCATTAATTTGTGGCAGACGTTGATGCGACTCGTGATGTGGCAAGCTGCAGTGGCAAACAGTAGCAGCAGCAGGGGCAGGAGCAGGAGCAGGAGCAGGAGCAGGGGACGGCCAGCAACTTGCAACCAATTAGTGTGCCACACGCGCAATAACAAAAACTGACGCCTAACGGGCCACAAAAATTCCGTTAACAATTTGAAAAGGGGGCGTGGCAGACGCCCGTTGCTGCACGTCCCAGAATGACTAGGGAAATTCGATTTTAAAGCCACCGCCCAAAAGTATGCAACAAAATCTGAAAATTTTAATAAAATGCGCGACAATCGACTAGGTTTGGGGCGGTGGCCAGTGGGCGTGGCGGCGGACAAAATGTTATGCCCGAGGGCCGAGCGTGGGCAGAACGTGGGCGCGCAGCTCAAAGAATTTGCATAGCCGTAAGTTATAAGCGCTGTCAGCCGCAGCCAAGCAGCGAGAACTTACGGCCAAAATAAACGTAAATAGAAGTCGAACAAATTCTTGAAATAAATGAAGAGTGGAACGAATTGCGGAGAACTTGACGAAAATGTGAGGCAAATAGAAAGGCATTTGAAGTGAGGAAAGAAAATGCTTGCAATTTTGCAAAAATGTCAACAAAATTATGAGATTAACATATTTCATGTGATATAAACAATTTTATGAATATATGTATAATAACAAGTTGTGTACGTATTGAAATATATAAATAAATATAAATATGTGCAGATTTAAACATATTTTTAAATCACAAATTATAACATTTTTTTTTTTTAATATATGAACAATATTTAATTATTAATTTTATTAGTTTATAAAGTTTTACTATTATTTACTTTATTGTTAATTTAATTATTGATAATATTTATTTATTTTTATTATTTATAATTTCTCTTTAGTTTATCAAATTTTTATTATGTTCACCTTGCTTTTCCATAAGCTATTTATACATTTACTTTATATTTGCCTTGCTTTTTTTCGTTTCATTGATAAAGCTGCCTGTCAATGAATTTATTTATGCATCACTTTAGTTAGAAAGAGATAGAAAATGATTTTTTGATGTTGAAGCACATAAAATGTTATTTCAAAATCATTGAATAAAATGAAAGCAAAAAGCACTTCGCTTATAATGACAATCAAGCCACGCAGTCTCCATACACCTTCGATAGCTCAGTTGGTAGAGCGGTGGACTGTAGAGAGACATGCAATGTGTAGAAATCCATAGGTCGCTGGTTCAAATCCGGCTCGAAGGATGTTGGTAAAATGCTTTTTTATTTTTTTTTAAATATCAATAAAAATATTTACGAGAATATTTTTCAATTATTTTGCGCCGTTTCACAAATACGAACTAATAATCTCTTCAAATGAGTGGGTATAATGCGCGACCACGCAGTTTTTCAAGCAAATGCTTAACAATTCAGTGCAATTACAGCACATTGAAACGCAGAAACAATCCGAACTACACAAATTGCGAATAATTTACAAAATTATCCTTTAAGTGGCTTTTAAAGAGCACTTGAAAGTTAAATTGAAAGCATATGAACATAAATCGCAGCAACGTTCGCCCATAGATGGCGCCAGTAATGGTTTGTTATTTTTACCGTTTGTTACAATAACTCAACTAATGATTCACTCAAGTGGCGCATTGTCTTCTGATTGGTTAACTGATTTCTGTTTTCCCAGGGGATTGCAGAGTAGAAGTGCGTGAGAGTGAGAGGGGGAGTGTGCTAGTGGGAGTGGGAGTGGGAGTGAGAGGGCAACTAATTGTTAACTTTGGGCAAACAACGAAACGCAATCAAACGTAGCGCAAAAATTTGCCAAGCTCAACGTAAAAGCCAAACAGCAAAGCGCACAAAAATCATCAAAATTTATATACATACAGCTTGGGCTGCGCTTGAGTTGTGCAGAGGGGTGAGTGAGTGAGTGAGTGAGTGCGTGGGGCATGGGTAGCGGTAGGCAAATGTTTATTTTGCTAGACTTACCTTCGAACTTTTCATATGCAGCGAAGCTTAACTTTTCCGGCACAAAAGACGAGCCGCGCCGCGACCCTGCGCCGGCAGCAAGGCTCTGCTCCAGCTGCACTGCTGTCAGTGTTGTCTCCCTCTCGTCGCCAGATGGCGCTGGCGCTGCCATCGCTAGCGCTGGCGACTGAACGATAGGCGCGCTGCTGCTATTGCAGCTACTGCTCGTCGACGTCGATCTCTCGACCGAGAAGCTGGCCACCTTCTTGAGCACATTGCTCGAGAGCAGCGGATTGGTGGGCGTGCCATAGCCGGGCGGAGGCGGCACCAGCGAGGCCGCATCAGCATCCAACTGCTTAGCCTCGTCCCCCTGCAGCAGCGCCTCCCCAGCAGCGCTGCTGTCAGTGGGCGAGGCTGAGCGTTGAGCTGAGGCAGGTGTTTGAGATGATTTAAACGAAATTATAACAGTTGACTGCGTTTCCAGCGGAGTGCTCGCTGTCGAAATCAGAGTCGGAGTCGGAGTCGGAGTCGGGGTCGAGGTTGGAGTTGGAGTTGGTGTCGGAGTCGATGTAGTCGCTGCAGCTGAAACGAAACGAAACGGAATGGAAATCAAATGAAACGAACTGAACTGAAGGTGAGCGCCAGGCCGCATTAGCAGCCCAAATTGATGCAGCGAGAGCACAGAAAATGCGCAAAGCTGGCGAAAAGCTATCTATAAGTGATTTATCAATCAAAATAGTCAGCAATGAAAATAGAAGGGCTAACAATAATGCAGATTTGAGAGTATTCAGATACACTCCGACTAAAAGCATTCCATTCATCTTAAGATGCTGTCATTGAATGATACACATGACGATTGGGGGTTCGATACTTGAGTGTTTCTTTTATCCGTTTCATTTTAGTGTTTCACTGAGAGCTAAAATTTCATTTCACTGTTTCATTTTAGTGTATCACTTTCAGTGTTTGACGTCAATATTTCATTCTAGTTATCCATGTTTCATTTCACTATTTTACTACAGTGTTTCATTTCAGTGTTTCATTCCAGTGTTAGAGTATCACTTTAAGAGTTCAATTTCAGTGCTTTACTTTAATGTTTCCATTATTGTTTCATCCCTATGTTTCACTTTGTGTTTCATTCCAGTGTTTCATGCCCAGTGCTCCATTGCAGTGTCTCACTTCTGTGTTTCATTTCAATGGTTTATTAAAGTGTTACTCTTATATGATTCACTTGACTACAATACAATAGAATTTTCATTAAGAAAAACTCAGCTTTTCATTCACTTTTCCTATTTTGCTCAACTGCAAATATTGAAAAGCTCCCCAGTTAATGTTCAGTAGGCTCCATTAAGAGCAGCGCCTAAAATGCATATAAAAATATCTTCGGTAATCGCTTTACGAGCAAAGCGTGAGCAAATTATATAATTTAGGAGGCGCAGCATCCAATTTTTATTATATTTATATTTATATATACAGCAGGAGTTGCGTTATTAAATCTCTTGTTCTGTCCATGAGGAGCTCAGTGGAAGTCCTCGATGAGTCTTGGTCGTGGCAGTGGCTACAGCTCCGAGCACACCCAGTGGAGCGCTTATCGCGGCCATCATCATTGACTGTAAGCCCAAGTGGCTGACACGCCCCCAGCCCCAACGGGTGTCCATTGCTCCCACGTGCATCATTTCGTACAACATGATTTAATTAAAATTTAAACTTTATTTTGTTCTCTTTTTTTGCTGTTCTCGCAACAATGGGGAATCGAAAATGGGCGCCCATTTTCCCCATTTTCCCCGTTTGCCGTGTTTCAACAGTTTTCCCAGTTTCCGGCCGACATTTTGTAAACAATGAAGACGTGTTTGCAATTTTTAAGTTTTTTACAAATGTTTTTGGCGTGCTGGGTCACAATATACCCAGCCACGCCCTTCGCCCTTCACTCAGCGCCTCCCATCTCTCTGATGGCCGTTCACACAGTAAAGAGGGTATATTAGTTGTGTGCTCTAGACGATTCCTTAAAGATGTGGAACCGTGTCTGATCAGAGTATTAGAAGACTTGGAATAAGTCCCAGAGAGGAAGAATCAGTTAGAGCTGGGATATCTATTTATATCTAATAATATTTAGATTTTCTCAGATTTCACATATATGTACATACTTATTTATGGTGAAGGTAGTAAAACTCCCCCAGTAAAATCAACTTGAGTTAGAGAGTTAGGATCTGTTCTAAAGTAGTGTAAATACAATAATATAATATTTTTTCTTTTTGCTGTGAGCAAGTGTGCAGGAAGTCAAACTCTTCCATAGAAAACTCCTCTATATCCAATAATATTTATCTGATTTCAAATATAATATATTTTAAATTTTCATCGAACGAGTATCGTGCAGTCAGTCAAACGCGATTTCCACAATTTTTACTTGTTTTGCTTGGGCTCTGTTTGTTATCCAAGCGACGGACGGACGCAATTAGACGGGCATTAGATGCCGAAAAGGGGGCGTGGCACAGTAAGGGGGGGGATTGGAGTTAAAACTTAAGGGTATGCTGGGGATTTTATATATAAATTTAGCTGGAAATTATATTATATATAAATGACTGTATATACATATATTTAAATGTATTTAAAATATCATGTGCGAGCACAGCACGAGCCTTTGCATAAATGTGCCAATAATTACTTTCGCATACCCTTTCCTGCAGAGACTAACGTGATGTTGACATCGGGAATGTAACAGAGAGGGAATTAATATACTATATAAAATATGTATACATTATAGATAGGTTTATTATAGGATATATTGGCATTGTGAAAATATTTGAAACAGATCTGTTCGACCATCTGTTCTTTTCAGATAAGCTAGAATGAATTACCTAAAAGTTTTATGCTCTAAAAGTTAATTGGAAGATTTCTGTGATGAATACAAGAATATTGTATGGTACGGATAATGCAGAGCAGGAATCAATCGTCTTAGAATGAGTTTCATGCTCGAATTAATCTCTATAACTTAAGATCATTACAAAGAATGGCTTGCAAATAAGTCTAGTATTTTTTCAAGATCTTTCATTGTACATTAGATGACTAAGAAATCTATTTGCAATAAACAAATATTCCATTAAAGTGTCTTATTGTATGACAAGTTTCTTTTTAGTTCGAATGATATCATAAAGTTATTCAATTGGGGTCTGCTCTATTTCCATTTGATTTCATCAAATATGTATAAGCCAATATTTCTTATCAAGTCCTTACACTTATATTCCTTCGTATCTGTATCTAAACCTAGAGCATACAATTTTCACTACTTAATTTTTGCCAATTTATTCGTTTTTTTTTTTTTAACTTTATATATTTATATTTCTTCTAAGCGCGTATTTTTATGCGCCTCACAGATCGCATCAGTTATATAAAAAACAAGTAAGAAAGCTCTAGTCGAGACTGCTCGACTACGAGATCCCCTGAACCCTTGGAGCAATAGATATTTCAATACTTTTTCGCGACTTTCAGCTTACACAAGAAACACGCACACACACACACACACACGCACGTACGCACACACAGGTATACATAACACACACACACGCATACAGACACAAACGCATACACACACACACATACACATACACATACAAGCAACCACGCATAAACACGCATGGGCTGCAGTGTGCGCTTACTATGAGAACTTAATTGTTTAATAACTTTTTTTATGGACGTACGATCTTCATGAAACTTTTAGATTATGATTATAACATGAATATGCATGTGATTGCCAAAGCACAAGTCTCTAGTATTTGAAATACGCTTTTTACAAAAGTGAGGGGTGGGGGTGAATTTAGAGGTGGGGGGGTAAATTTTAACAAAAACCGAAATTGTATAAATTGCATATAAGCATACATTAAAAATTTGGAGACTCTAGCAATAAAGGTGTAGAAGATATAATTTTATAACTGGGTTTCGATAAGGTTTTTTATCGATAAAAAAAGATCGAGATGAGTTATCGATTTTTAATGATAAACTTGATATGCGCGCTGTAATTACGGACATTTTAAAAAAAATTTGAAGTCTCTAGCTCTTATATCTTCTGAAATCGACGCGTTCATACATACGGACAGACGGACAGACGGACAGACAGACGGACAGGGCCAAATCAACTCAGCTCGTCACCCTGATCAAGAATATATATACTTTGTGGGGTCTGCCACGCCTCCTTCTCCCTGTTACATACATTTCAACAAAACCATTATACCCTGATTTCCCATTGAAAATGGGTTCAGGGTATAAAAAAAAAGAACAACAACAATAGGCTTTTCTGGAGCAGGCCGAAAAGAAAAAAAAGGAGGACAAAGCGACACGAGTTAATTAAAAAACTTGAAACAAATTTTTATTCAAATAGCCGGGAGAGTAAAAATGGGTTGACTTTATTTTCAAGGAGGCGCAATTGAAGCGAACTTATAGAACGGGAGGATCTAGGGGCGTTCGTAGAGTTTCTTTAAGACGTTGAGCACGTAATGTCAATTAGAAATTATAATTAAAATCAATGAAAACGAAATAAAATTCAATAAAAATTGTAAATTGCAAAAAAGGCAACAAAAGGACAAATAACACAATCAAAAGATGATAGCATTGGAATATATATATTTTGTTATTTCTTTTGAAAAATAATAAAATTAAACATATTTTGCAATTGACATAATTTGTCTATTTATTTATATTGAATTTGCAAACTTCCTTGCATTCTATTTACCTACTAAAAAAAAACCGGTATTTTTATTACCTGGGCTTGACCTTTCCCACTTTAAATTTATATTAAAATACCTGTACCTTTCCTATCTATTTATGTATTCGATCTATTTTATTACTTCTGCATGAACTTTGCCATACAAAGACGAAATTTTCAATTTTATTTCGGTTCAACCTTTGCGCTTTGAGCTGCTGCTTCTCAAACTTTAAAGTTTGGCAAGCACTTCGCGCAGATGCCTTACCAATGTTTACCAATGGAATTGGCGTCGAGCGCCAGACCAATGGAAAACGAGCAGACAAAATTGTGGAAGACTTCGAGTGTGAACGACTGAGCAATGCTCTGTTCGGTAAAAATTGAAATTAAAGAGGAAATGGAATAATTTACGTGATAAAAAAATAAAGTAAAAAAAAAAAATAAAAATATTTAATGCATAGTCACAAATTATCAAATAATTGTCATTTATTTTAAATTAGTTTTCAATCAGTTCTCTTCCGAGCAGTAGCTTTTAGGTAAGGCCTCTGCGTAGCAACCATTTTATATTTCCCGATTAATTGAGCTGTCATAGTGCTTTGAGGGAAAGATGTCTAGGTCTATCAATATATCGTATATACGTAATTACTTAATTACGAAGTCAGTCATTTGGATTAGCTGAAGCTAAAGCATTTTTTTGCATAAGAACTCTGCCTGGTAAGCAAGAGGATCATGGTTCGAATCCTGCTGCAAACTCATATGATTGCCTATTGATTGAGCCTTAATTTTTGAATTAAATAGCGAGTAGCTTCCAGAGAGTGGCCTAGATTGACAAACGAGCTCGAGTACTCTTCGAGTCGAGCATATATAATCAGTTGACGCTAGTTTTATTGACGAAGTAATTTGTTATTTGTAAGTGAAAGCTAAAATTAGCCTGTGCAGGATTTTGCCTGCCAGGCGTGAGGCCCCCGGTTCAAATCCTGTTGCGAACATATATGATTTTTATTAATTTATATTTTTGATGGTGCCAGTTATTTGAAAGTAAAAGTTGATTTCGATTTCGTAGCCAGTGGCGTAATGGGAAGCACTCTGCACGGCATGCGAAAGGTTCGCGGTTCAAATGCCGCTCGGGGTACACAAGTTGTGTATACAATTTTTTTTTTTTTTTTTTTTATAACAAATTATTTTTTGGTGTTGTCTAAATTCAAATTCTAAAAGCCAATATACTCGCATTCTTTACTCATTTTACAGTGCATCGAAAGGGACAAGGCTTTTAGTTATTCTCATTTTCATTTTCAATTTTTTTTTGCCACTTCGTTGTTATTTTCGGACACAAGGGCCACACACTTGAGCATACACATGGCGCTTCAAGTGCTCCCCAACAACAACAGTACGAACGACGACAACAACAACAATCAGATGAAGAGGGCAAACAGGAAGATTCGTGTTTTATGCCGCGCGTTTCGTTTGATTTGCGAGCGGGTGGCCAAGTGGGAATTTGAATAATTCCCGCATATCGCCAAAAGGCACATGCTCTGGTATCAGACACGCCCCCCATCCTACCGCCGTCCCTTGCGCCCACTCCGGCTAATGCGTTTGTAATGGGGGAAACCGGAGATGAGGCGACCCTCACGTGACTTTAAATGCCGCCAGATCTCGGCCCGGAATGTGAAATGGGCAAATAAACGCGCGAAGGCCAAACGGGGGACTCACCTGTCGCTGCCACGCCCACATCCGTTAGATTTGTGGGCGTCGAGGCTGGGCTGACGGCGGCTGTGAAACGTGACGACAGATTCTGCAGCTCCACTTTCTTGGCCTTGGATATGTTGAACAGCTCGCCCCCATTGCCCAGGGGCGAATCGACACGGGGCGTGGAAATCGCAACAGATCCCGCTGCCACGCCCACGGGCATCATATTGGCTTCCGTGATCGAGCCGGGGGGCGTGGGCGTGGGCGAGGCCGAGCTGCTGCCCAGCACCTGGGCGAGCTTCTTGCCCAGCTGCAGTGCCATCCGCTCATCCGGCGAACTCTCCGGCGTAATCAACAGCTCCGTATGCAACAGCCCCGCTTCGAGCGCCTGCTCCGGATCTGGCTCCGATTCATGGGCGATGCTCAGGTATGTGATGCGACTCAAGCTCAAGCCGGCGATCTTATCAGCACGACAGCGACGCTTCAGCTCTATTAACTCCTTATTGTTGAGATCTAAAATAGAAAAATCGAATCAGTTAGTAAATATAGTTATGAATGTCTTTTATAGATTAACAAATATACATAGAAGTCATTTTTAATGAGGAAAGATACAATTCAATTTGAATATTTCCAATACGAGGAGCATACAATTTAAGAAACTTTCAATTCGAATTTCTATAAGATTCTTATAAGCACATAATCTAAGTCGAGCCCCATGTAACTGAAAATCTTATAAGAATATATTTTAAGAAGCTATCCAATTAGTAATTGCACAAATATTGTCGATTGTCTTATAAGAACTTTTTATAAGAATACTTTGGGAATATCGATTAAGACTAAGGATCATTAGACTTACATATATGATCAATTACTACAACAAAACAATTTTAACTCAATTAGAATCACAATTTGTTGATCACGTCACAGCAATTCTAATAAGACTAACTCTCTTAGCAGACATGCGCAAGTCAAATAAGAATTAAGACTCATTTGTGCTTAGTTACCAAAGAGCGAATCAGAATCATTGCTGGAAGATGAAGAAGTAGAAGCAGATGTAGAAGAAGTCATGGAAAGGGAGTGCAGACGCTGCCGATGCTGCTGCTGCGCAGCTGACTGTGACGCTGACTGCTCTTCTGGCTGCGTCAATGTGTTGGTCGATGCATAGCAGCAATCGTCGCTGCTGCAGTTGTGAAACTCAGTGGAGTCGCTGTTGTAGTCCAGGCTGACGACGTCATCTGGCAGCACAGAAGAACACGAAGAAGAATCAAAAGAAAGAGAGATAGAGATAGATGAGCTAAGTGCTCAAAAATATTTCAATTGAAATAGCAAAGAAATTAATTTATATATATATAGAAAAAAAAGTGCCGTTGATTTATGGTTTGCGGCTCATTGAGAAAACCGCGACATGTGTAAAATATAACAAAAATAAATAAAAGTAAATTGAAACAATACGCCACTGGAAGGCGGCACAAGAGCGACTGAGAGAGCGGGTGAGATTGAGAGCGCGGCGAGTGCGTGCTCTCATTGGAATAGGCCAAACAAAACGTAAACTGTAAACCATAACGCAAAAAGATTTATGAAAATCCATATGGAAAATGAACTCAAAAGCGAAAGGTTAAACATAATGACAAATGAGCAGAAAGAAAATAAAAAATAAAAAGGGAAATGTAAAAAGTAAAGCAAACAAAAACAAAACAAAAGCGAGGGGCACAGCTCGAAAACTGGTTTTTGGTTATGGCTGAGCAGGCGGAGGGAAGGTTGGACGGGGGAAGTTTCGGGAATGGCCACGGGAATGCCAAAAGACGGCGTCACTTTTCTTTCATTTCATTTCATTGTTGTTCTGTTTTTATTGTTGTTGTTGCAATAAATTTGTTGTTTGATTTGTAAAGCAAAACAAAGACATCAAAACGCAACAACGGTAAACCGAAACTGTTTCATTTATCACTCACTCTTCTTCTCGCTTTTTGGCCTTCGCCCTTTCGAGTTCGCTTTCGCGTTCGGGTATCAATTTTCGTTTGTTATTGCAAAATAAAACACTTTACGCGTCGATTCTAACACAACTTTTCACTTTTCATACACACATTTTTCCAATTAGCCGCGGCGACGGCGACGGCGACGACGACTTCGACTCGAACGATCTGCGCGGCAGCAAGTGCAAAGCGTTACTAACAACAACAAGAGCAACTGGTTTCTAGGGGCCAGCACATGTGAGCGAAGCCTGGAAATCGAAGCTGAGCTGACGCGTGAGAGCGTGTAAAGCGTGAGCGAGTGAGACCGAACGAGCGGGTGAGCGCGCTAGCGTGAGAGCGATTTCGGGGGCTTGTTGTTGGCGGCTTAAAGCTGTAATTTAAACGGTGCACGAAATGAACAAAGGGCTTCGAAAGCAAGCAAAAGCAACTGGAATCAATACAAGAATAAATATATATGAATCAATGAGTTGTGCTAAGTGTTATAATCTGTTATAATTTAAATAAGCAGGAAGCGCTGTTTGTATATTGAATTGGAACGGGAGAGGCCGTGAGAAGGGATTGAGCTTTCATTGCAATCAAGTTCGTATTGTGAGCTGGTTCGTTGCTCTTTACTGAAAATAACCAGAGAATGAATAACTTGAGTTTAAGTTTAACGGACAGATAGTAATGAACAATGCGATCCCTTTAATTTCCCAATGTTATTCTAGTACTTTATAATAATATATGCAAAGCTGATCAGCATTGCATACTTTTTGACATCTGATTCAAATATTCATTGAGAACTTTAAAATGTTGTTTGGTAATTGCCTAGTTTTAGGGGGCTGTCGAAATTGTAGAACTTTTGATTGAATGAAGTATGAATTATAATAATTTATAAATATATATGTAGCACTACCTCTACTATCATCATCCTCATCACTAGGCTCATCATCATGCCCATTTTCGTTACGCTTATCATTATTATCATCTTTATAATCACCATCTTTGCAAATTATTCATATGCCAAAAATAACTTTCGCAAATTTCTTTCAAAATGGCGCCCAGAAAGTTGTCGAGCGAGGAAAACCCTAGCGAAATTGTTGTCTGAAATTAAATTCCATAACACACACACAAACAATTATTGTTAACAACATTAAACCGTTGTTAAAACTCCGCAACGAGCTGACAGAGTGAGAGGGAGGAGAGAGAGAGAGAGAGGGATAGAGCGTGGAGTGTTAGAAGTTTACAAGGAAAACTATTAAAACTAATTGCCATAAATATTAGCGGCCCGCCACGTGCCAGGCCCAACTTTTTTTTTGTACACAACATAATGTGTGTGTGTATTGGTGTGTGTGTGAGTGTGGGTGTCTTGGTGTGTGTATAGGCTCTTAATTGAGCACGTCGCCAGTTGTTGTTGTTGTTGTTGTAGTTGTTTTGGTTGCAGTTGGCGCCGAAAACTAAGCCACAGCGAACTGAGCGCATTTATACCCCTTCCCCCTCTCCATCCTTCCCTTGACCCCACTACCCCCCTCTCTCCCACTAGCTGCTTTTTATTATATTTTTGCAAATGGAGGCTTGCTCTGCCGAGTTTCGCTTGGGGCCCCATATGAATTATGAATTTATGCATTGAAAGAGGCTCCCGAAAAAAAGCGAAGAAGAAGAAGAAGCAGCAGCAAAACGAAGCGAATTTTTGCTGTGTGTATGTGAAATGAATGCGGAGCGGGGGGCAGTTGGCGGCAGGCGGTTCTCTGTCTGTGTGGGCGTGGCAGCTCAGTTATCTCACGCTATAAAGAGAATTTTTGATAGCCGTTCGCTGTCTACCTCTTCCCCCCCCTCTCGCTGTCTCTCTCTCTCTCAGTGAATCGCGCCTTGGCACGTTTAGAATTTTTCGTTGATTTGATTTTGGACTTTGGAGTCGCTGCAATGGCAGCCATGCAGCCGCCTTTTCAATTGCCTTTTGATACAGAGCCCCAAACAGCCTGCCAAGCCAACACCACCCCCATCCCCACTTAACCCCCTCCCCACTCGACCCGTGACCTTTCAAAATTCCCGCGATCTGGCAGCCTTTCTCTCCTGCTGAAAACGCGACTCTTTGTAAACAGTCAAAAGCAGCGCCACAGAATTCTCGGCGAGCGCTTTGAACGTCAATTTCTATACCCTACAGTGTCAGCTTGAGTGACTAGAGCAAGTGCTTTGTGACATTGCAGTAGCTGGCAGGGCTGGACTTAAGAATATACTCTTCTAATGACTTTCTTTTGGTAACGAAGAGAGATTCATTCCTATGGAAAAATAAATAAAAGAAGAATATCCGAATTGAAAGGGAAAGAGGGGAAGAGACAAGTTTTTAATAAGAAGAAACTATTTACAAATTAACAATATTGGGCAATTTTTCACATAAGCAGATTTGTTGAAAATATTGAAAATTTTTAATTTTTAAATCTCAAACAAATTTCAGAAAATTCTGAATTAATTAAGAACTCCAAATAGATTTAAAAAAATAAAAATTTTAGTGTAAAATTTTAAAAATAAAGAAATAAAATATTTTAAAAATTTTATTTTGATAAAAATGAACACTTTTAATAGACATACTAGTCAAAAAAAAAAAAAATAAAATAAATAAATAAAAAAAAATAAATAAAATAAAAAATAAATAAATAAATAAAAAAAAAAATAAATAAATAAATAAATAAAATAAAAATCATTATTACAAATATTATTATTAAAATCTTATTATTGTCACTTAAAAATATTATTATTAAAATCTCATTAAAATTTTATTGAAACTATAAGTTATATAAAGTCTCTATATATGTATATATAATAAAGTTTTTTTTCGTTCTTTTTTAATTTCAATAATAAAGCTTGCAAATACAATCAAATTTCGTTAAAATTTCGTATATATGGGGAAAATGGATTGATCTAAAATATTTTTTTAATGAACTCTAGTCAATCTAAAGGGAATTTCAACAGTCTTTTATTGGCTATTTCATAAGTCGCATATGCAACCGTGAAACTAACATCCATTAAGGGCATTAGAGCTTCGACTCGATAAGGATATCAACTCAATGCGTTTCGCTTATATTTCAATTTGTTTGTGACTCGTCGAAGGATGCGAAGCTTTAGAACAGTTTGCAGCTTCTGCATCCTCTTCTGCGACTTCTTTTTTTAAGTCAGCGAGTTTTTATTTTTATATTTTGTTCCGCTTCTTCTTAATAGACAGAGTCGACTTTTTGAAGTGGGTCGCTGCACTGGCTGTGTGAGAGAGACAGGGAGAGCGAGAGGGAGAGCGCGTGCCATGTGTGTGAGTTATGATTGAGAACGTGGCCCGCTTTGTAGTGCAGAGTCAAAAGTCATGCTCATATATTTTGCACTTACTCTCACATATATGTGTGTGGTATATATGTGCGTGCGTGTGTTTTTTAAAGTCAGCATCTCTTAAAGATTTCACATGAATAACTAAAATCTATAAATTTTTGATTTCACTTTGGCTGCTGGGAGAACAGGCGCAAGTGAAGATATTATTTGTGCCAGCCGAAATGCCAATAAGTTTCGAGTGCCAACAGGCTGTAGGGAACTCGAAAAGTTACTCAGGAGAGGCAGAGCGTGTGTGTGTGTGTGCGAGCGAGAGGGCAGATATGTGTATATTTAAGTACTGTAAGCCATGGCAGAAGCAAACAACGCCAGCGGAAAAGTAAAGCTCAGAGAAATTTCTAACAGTCAAGAGAGCTGGCGAAACAACAAAAGCGGATTGCCAGCTGGCGGGATTTTCAGGGTGTACAGAGCGGGATATATCTGCCATGAACAAAACAAGAAAAAAACGAGAAGGGTGCACAAAATTTCATAAAACTTCGATGAAAAGTTTTGGGCCTTGTTCTTCGTGCGTTTTTCTTTTTCTATTTTCGAAAAAACTTGCACGAAAATTCTTATTTAAACTACGCTTAAATTGCAATAAGTCTGTCGACTGTCGGCAGAGAACGAGACGAGCGAAAGAGACGGAGCTAGTGTGTGGAACGGAGAAAGAGAGTGAGAGAGAGAGATACATAGAACGAATTACAGAAAAGTGCACAGATTTAGTGCGAGCTACAGGCTGCCAAGCGAACTGTGTAATAAAACAGAAGCGAAAGTTCAAAATGAAACACAATGCAAAAAAATGAAGAATTTGGCATATTGAAGTATAGCATAAAATAGATGCGATAGATCGGGTATGATGTACCTTGAATTGGATGACAAGGACAATGGCAATAGCAGTGGCAATGACAATGACAATGACAATGACAATGACAATGACAATGACAATGACAATGACAATGACAATGACAATGACAATGACAATGACAATGACAATGACAATGACAATGACAATGACAATGTCAATGTCAATGACAATGACAATGACAATGACAATGACAATGACAATGACAATGACAATGACAATGACAATGACAATGACAATGACAATGACAATGACAATGACAATGACAATGACAATGACAATGACAATGACAATGACAATGACAATGACAATGACAATGTCAATGTCAATGACAATGACAATAACAATGACAATGACAATGACAATGACAATAGCGACGGGTTTTATCCAAGAATATGTATTAGCTACTAAGATCAGTTTGTATAACAGCAGTTTATGTTATACTGTGGCATAGCTTGAAGGCAAGCTGTTATACGCAAGTCAGCCTTAGGTGGGGATATAACAACAGCCATGATTTGTCTGGATTGGCAATTGAAATAGGAACTCAAAAAATAAAGCAAAAATTGAAATAAAATTTGCGGACAAACTGAATTTCGACATCGACATAAAAAAAAAGAGGAAGAGGAGCAGGAGAAGAAGAAGAAGGAGTCGAGTAATAGCAATCAAAAGCAAAAACAAAAACAGAAAAAACTGAACAAATATTGTTGGTGAACTTTGAAATTGACTTACGAAAATCCATTTGTTCGGCACTGGCATTCAATTGTCCGTGGCCCACATCCGGCGGAGTCCAGTCCGCTAGCGGCGAGGCGGGCAGCGATGCGGGCGACACCGGCGGAGTGGCCTGCAGGAATACATCCCGTTTCTGCTTGACAAAACGGCTAAAAACTCGCGCCTGCTGATGGCTGCTGTTGCTGCTGCTGCGTCTGTCCTCCAGCGCCGCCAAAGGTGGCATGCAGCCGGGTCCGTGGCGTCCGCCCGCCGCCAGCCGTAGCAAGCTGCCCGTTGCCTGCGGCGAGCTGCCGCTGCCCGCTGCGCGATTCTGGCCATGTGCATTGCCCATTGGAGCTGGCTCTAAAAGATTGGGCTGACTTTGATTTGGAGGGCACAACTGCAAAAGAGAGAGAGAGAAAGAGAGAGAGAGAGTGAGTAAGGCAAGCAACTTTTGCAAAAATCAATTAAAAAAGTTTTCAATCAGCCGCATTGTTTGGGTTGATTTTCTACTTTTCCCTTTTTTTTTTTTTTTTTTTTTTTTTTGGCTGTTGCTACAAAAACTTTTCTGTTGCAGAAATATGAAATGAATTAGTTCAGGTAAGGCAAAAGTTCTGTCTCGATTTCTATAGGTATCTATGTATATATATATGTGATATATATTATGACTACTTTTTGGCTGGCGGCCACCGCAACGTCGTTGCTTTGGCAACTTGCAGCACGCAGCTCGCAGCTCGCAGCTCGCAACTTGCAACTTGCAACAAGCTGCAAATTGAACTTTTACTTTTAACAACTGTGGCGTCCTCTGCAGCAACGACTCCTCAATAATGATCATTAAACAACAATCGAATTCTCATTCCCAAATGGCCAAAGCCAAAGCATTGAAAGCGACAAATTTTTGAAGCTTTTCAGTTTTCAGTTTTCAGATTTCCGTTTTCAGTTTTCAGTTTTGTTTGAGCACATTTCAAGGGTTTCCGCCATTCTGATCGATGAACCCAATAGAACATTTTTGCGAAATGCTTTTAACAAATTGAAAATTGAAAAGCTCTAAAAGCCATAAGAAATGTATGGAGTATATATTTAAAGAATTTTTTGTTGAGTAATGTAGCAAAAATTTATTTAATTTTTAAAACTTGTGTAAGAGTACAAAAACAATTGAAAAATTCTTTTTCTTAAAAAAAAAAAAAAAAAAAAAAAAAATTAAAAATTGCATTAGACTTCAGGCAAAAATTTTTAACAGGAAGTATGATTATAATGAACCATCATGAAGTCAATATTATTTTTATGACTGAACAAAAACAAAATATGCAAAGCCAGCCCTACAATTAATCATATTAAGAGAAGGTGTTCATTGAACTGAAATATATGTACGTATACGTATAGATATATAATATATAGACATATACGTATACATAGATAGAGGTTTCATATATATTTATCATTATCTGCAAAAAAATATCAGTTTAAAAATATCTTTTCCATGATTTATCGGTAGCTGATAAGACTCTAAACTTTTTGTTTATGAACAATATTAACAATATTTCTTTTGCAAATAGACAAAAAAATAAAAATTAAATAATAATAATAATAAAATAAAATTAAAATAACAATAAAAAATAAAATAAAATAACAATATTCGACTATAAATAAATTTAAAAAAAAAAAATACAATTTTGTTTAATACATAATAAAAATATATATATTATAAAATAAATATTATTAAAAAAGAAATAGTATTAATTAAAATAAATATAAAATATTCAATTTTTCATATAATTTTCATACTTTCAAAAATAAAGAATACGAAATTGGCGCCCTATAAATATAGTAACAAATGCCTTTTACAAAAGTGTGTATAAAAGATAGCTTTATACATATGTAGATTAATTGAACTTGAGATTGTATCCTAATGAAACAACAATAAAAACACATTTGTAAAATGTAACTCAAATATTCGCCAATAAAATTTTGCTCTAATTGAAGCTAATTTTTAAAGAACACGTTTCACGTTTTTCTCAGAAGTAATTTCTATGCTGCTCTTTCTTTCGCTTCCTCTCTGTTTCGCTCTCGCCGTTTTGCACGGCGTCAACATAAATCACAATAATAAAACAAATTAGCAACAATATTTTTTATCGCCCAAGTATATATGTATTTTTTTCATACTAATTGAAATACTTGGGCGGGGCGGCATAGGGCGTGGCATGGCGCGGCGTTTGTTCAAAAATTTTGTAGCTTAAAATTAATTGTTGGCCATAAATTTGTTTTTGTTGGTTGTCCTGGACACGGCAACAAAAATGGACGGGCGGCAAGGATCGCCCACAGTGAGTCACGCGCGCTGCATAATGAGAGGCATATTTGTATATATGTGTGCATTTGTGTGTGTGTGTGTGTGTGTGTCCTTTGCTTAAATCAGTTTTCAATTATAACAAGAGAGAGCGAGAGCGCGGGAGGGAGGGAGGAAGAGAGTGAGAAATAATGACGCAAACACTTGAGCTAAATTGTGTCAAAAGCGCAATTTAGTGCAATTTGCTGTAACGAAAGCGAAAGTGAAAGCACACACACACACGCACACACACATACGTAACATTCACTCACTCACACACAAACATAAGCTGGCTGTTACAAACCTCAGTCGCACTTCCGCTGCAATTTATACAAATCTGTTTCTCAGTTTCGCCTTCTTATTGCTCCTGCTCTCTTAATTGTTTTTGTTATTGTTATAGTCGTTGTTGCGTTTTGCTTTGTGCTAATGCGGCAAGTTCGTGACAGCCTCAATTTCCGCTCTCACGCGCTCTTTCTCTCACTCACTCACTCACTCACTGCCGCAACGCCTTGCTTAAATGCATAGAGCTTTGATTTGATTTCTGCTTATCACGACGCGTTTTTCTCTACGTTTGCGTTTTCGCATTGCAAAACACTAGGAAATTGTTTAATAAATTTGCAACAAAATGCGGCACACAAGAGAAATTAAAATCGAATTGCAACTGCAACCGCTGCAGCTGTCAGAAACGTGGCGTTTGTGTCAAATGCATCACGTAAACAACACGAAGCGCGCCCTCGTTCACTGCGTTACGTTAGCCGAAGCGGCGTAGCGGTAGCCGATGTCGAAGTTTTCGCCGCCGTCAGCTGGTCTTTGGCCTAGGACAACAAGTAAGGCAGCGCGGCGAGCAGCGAATTTGTCGAAGCGGCGAGTGGAAAAATCGATGGCACACTGAGCAGGCAAATCAAGCTGCTGGCAAATCGCCGTGAACGCAGCGAATTGCGAAAGCAAAATGCTGAGAGCGCAGCATAACAAGAGAGAGGGAGAGCGTAAACGATAACAGCTGAGCGTTTGTTATGGAACGTTTATGTTTAAGCTGTTATAATCTTTAAATGCGCTGCACTTCAAATGTGAAGAAGGCAATATGAAAATACACTTGAAAACATTCAGATTCTAGTTTGAAGTGTGCTATCATATGATATGATTGTATTAAAATTAAAACTAATTATTAATATTCTTTTAATTTACATATGCTATGCTCACTGTAGCGCAACTTCTAGTCTATATAGCCCATGCATGCAGCTAATTAGCATTTAGAGCTTTGGACTTCACCTCAGGCTAAGTGTTATACGCTTTAAATGACTCATTGTCCAGTCACAAACACAGCCATAAAAACATTCGCAAACGTTTTTTTATGAGCTCTCCTCAGACTTTAACACTGATAGCCGAACCCAAGTCTTATCAGTGAGGGTCAATGTGAAGGGAGAGGGGGGCTTGGACGAATTGACAAATGCAAATAGGCACGAAGAGTACATAATATATAAAAATAAAATCCCATTTACCCATTGCTTAAGTGATGATAAAATGTTTAAGCGCACGGCACAATCATTGTTGCTGCTGTTTGTTGTTCGTCTCGCGATTCTCTCATTGTTCTAGTGGTCAGCTTGATTGTACGGGTTTTTTTTATGTTTATCGAATTGATAAAAATGGGGGAATAAAAAAGTTGGTGAATAACCGACGATTGTAGGCGCTATAAATAAAACGAGGGTCATATGGAAATTATCGGGTGGATTACATTGCCTGTGAATGCGAGAAATATTGTTTGACTTATTGAATGCCTGTTAAGAGAGCTATATAAAACTGTGATAATTCTATTATATTCACTTTTAAGCTGACTTCTATAATATTAAAGTTCAAGCACAAAGTTCAAGTGACTGACAACGTTATACAACACTGTTATAAAATCTACTGTATTATTTTTGAAAGTAGCACAATTGATTGATTGCTTGATTGATAATCTATGTTATATAACAATGTAGTTTATAAGACTCGAAAGCTATTTAGATAAAAGCTCTTTCTTTTGTTTAATTGTTTCCTTATCTATTTATATGCAGAAGTGAAAGTTGTTTTATTGATAAGCAATGTGCTTTAAAAGTCGTCATATAGATCGGCTGAGCCAAATTAGATAAGTTTTGCGTTGACGTAGGGTAATATAACAATATATTTATACAAAAATTCTTGAATTGATTGACGGAACGATTGATAAGAACTTAACGGTAATTGCAATATTAGACTATTTTTTTTTTCTAATGTTATTTTGTTGTAATCAATGTATATATAAATAAACATTTTGATTGATTGATTGATAAGGAATATAGTATAACTTTAGAACAGTATAGAAGTAGAATAAAATAAGAATCTGTTTATATAGAATTGGTTGAGTTGATTGACTGATAAAAAATTCTAACATTATCAACTATATAACTATACCTTACTTAGGTAAATTATTTCAAAGTCATTGACTGATTGATGGAATGAGCCAAATTCCAAGTGAGATAATAATAAAACTTGTTACCGTTACAAAAGTAAGTAATATTATATAGAAAAGGATGGATTTCAATAATGTTGTTTAAATATTATTCCAAATCGAAGCAAATACGCTCAAAACTTGGAAACTTTGTAGGGTATTTGGGCAGTCTGCTTTGCACTCTTCTGCTTTTGCTCTTTAGCGAGTGCTAATTTTTTGGCCTCTCCGATTTCGGTCTCCATTTGATAATTGTTTATTTTTTCGCACTTTTTTTTCCAGAGCCAGAGCTTGTTTGCTCTCTGTGGGTCACGAGTGTGTCAATTGAGTGTATGAAATGTTGGTGTTGTTGTTGTTGTTGATAAGCCGTTTATGGCGCTGATAAGGCGAGCGACGCGACTCGACTTGAATTGCGAGTGCAGTTTTTTATTTTTATTTTCTTTTTCGGGGGGAACTTTGACGAGCTCATGTGGGATTAGCTGATGAGGAGGAGGAGGAGCAGGGGGAGCAGCCAGTTGATGTATATGCGTCTCGTGGCACGTAGCACAGTTGTAAAGTGTGTGCCTCATTTGAAACGAGGCAGACTAACAAGTGGCTTAATTAGCCAAGCGCCGGG